GGTCACACCATGCTGTGTAATCCAGAATTGGATGTCAAATTGTAGCAAGTGAGCTATATGTGGCCTGTGAGCTTCCGTTGCATAATCGGTAATAAATTTTGGAATTAAATTTCAGTGTGCAAATCTGATACATCATTAGTGCTGAACAAGCTGCCTGACCTTGCTAAACAGCTCTAGTGCTGTGCATGGCACCTCTTCCTCCTGACTTGCTCCACTAGTCTGTGCAGAAGTACTCTGACAATTCAGAATGTAACTTGGCCCTTAGCAAATATGACCTCTGCTAATTTACTTGTCCATCAGACTACATGTAATAATCTCCAATAATGTCTCCTGAGCTACTGCTAACCTCCTTCCACAGCTTCATGTTTTTAATATAGTGTCAGTTCCAGGAAAAGTCGGCAATGGATAATATTTTATATTTCTCGGAGTGGCATACTTACTGAACTGAGATTTTCTCATCAGCATCAGCTATGAACATGCTGCCCACCTATGGAAAGAAGCAGCATTGCACAGCTTTGAACATCTGAGATTAAGCAGAGCCAGCAAACAACTCTCCAAGCAATACTGACACTTCATACTTTCCCTAGAGCCTGAATCCAAGCCTAACAAGCCTAATATGTGGACTCCCCCACCCTCCTGTCACTAGTTTTGGATCAGGCTCCTCATTACAACAAGCACTGTACACAAGTAATATACACAAGCTCCTTACCATGTTGCTCAAGGCTGAGAAAAAGCCACTCTGGTGTTCTTCTTCCTTGTCTTTGTACTGGCTGAATGAAAAGGACAGTAACAGAAAGAAAAAAGAATGGGAGATGCAGAACTATGTAAGCAAAATTGTTGACCAAAATTTTTAACAGTACTTAAGCAACAGATATATACTAAGTGTTCCTCAGCTGTTTCATTTAAAGACTGCTATATTTAAATCAAGAGAAATTTTAATTGCAGTATCTAAAGGGTGAACTTTTTGAACAATAATTTCTATTAACCTTGTGCCCTAAGCAACCATTATCTTTACCAGGTTTTCCCCGATGAGAATTTGACACCTGAATTTAAAGTTGGTTAGCAAATCTTAGGTCAAGAGTAAACCTAGCTAATCCTAACCATACCAGTAGCTAAGGGCAACAGAAGGATTTTACACACAAAGGGAAGGAAGGAGACACAACTCCACAGATACCGTTCCCAGTATCTTAAAGCAGGGCTCAGCAAACCCAAGATGCAAGGCTGCCATGGCACCTAGTATTTTCAACAATGATTTTATTGTAGTGTATCTCAATAAGAAGTACAAAGCTTATTTATTATTTCACATCAGAATAAGTTTTGTTTTAGGACATAAAAATCCACATACACGAAGTTCTTGGCCTTGCTTGTTTATATGTTAACTTTACACCATTTCATGGTGGTGGATGAATTCATTTCTTAATTAGTTGCTTTTTATACTGGCTCCAATATTCAATTAAATACAGCTTTTAAGGCAATAAGCGAATGATCAGAAATAGGGAAGAAGACAGGCAAGGGTTAGTTTGTTTGTTTTTCCTTTTTTATATATAATGTTTTTCTTATTTTCTTGTTACAAACACTAACAACTCTACAAACACTACAACACTAAACTAAAATATAAGCTACACAAGGATCATTCAAAATGATTGGTCATTAGCTTAAACAAAGTTCCCTCTATAGTAAAATTAATGGAATGGAGTTATTTCTTATCGCTTCCTTACAAAATGGTGCTTATATGATTAAACCAGGTAGTTACAGTTTAAACAATTTAACTTTCAAACTTATAAGATTATATTATTTAGGCTTCTTTTCTCTGAGCTTCTTTTTATCAAAGTTGCACTGGACCTTCAGGTGTTTTGGGGCCGCCACCCCTTTATCTGATTTGAAGTCCTCTTCTGGATTACTGTCCACCGTACTTTCCGAACTTTCTGACCATATGCACTGCCTTCTTCTTCCAATTCTTCTTCCTCTGTTGCTCTCATATCGTACACTGGTCTTTGTTGCTGTTCCAAAAACGCCTTCGCTTTAAAGACAGTGTCGATCTTTTCTTTTTTGTCTTTATATTTGAAGACAAGTCCCTTAGGTATTATCCATTTGTATGTTGTGGAGTTTTTCTGCAAAAATCTAGTTAAGTTTTTATACTGTTTTCTCTTCCTTATTTCAAATGGTATGTCTTTTAAGACTCTAATTTCTTCGTCTTTGATTTTTAAAGTTGTTCCATTTGTGGCCTTCAGCACCATGTCTCATATAGATCTCTCTGAGAATCTCACCATTATTTCCCCAGGCAGGTTTTTTTTCTTAATAAATTCTGCATATGTCCGATAGACCATATCCATATTGCTTTGTAGTACATCTGCTGTTAAACCTGTCATTGGGGCCAACGCTTCACTTAAGATTTCCTTCAGATTCTCACCTCTCCGTTCAGGAACATCTTGAAATCTCAGAGCATAAGTTGATTTTTCTATTTGGAGTCTTAAAAGCTGGTCTTTGTCAGAGATCCTCTCTTTCTCCACTACCTCCAGCCTTTGATGAATTGCTTTTGACTTGGCTTCAACCTTTTTCACTGGTTTTGCCGTCTCCTCTGTTTTTATATTAGTCTCTTTCAGCTGTTTTTGGAGTGCTTCAAAGTTACTGTTGAGGTTAGTCATCTGATCCAACAGAGGGCGCAGTGCTGTAGCCAGCATATTGGGAAGGTCAGTATTCGCTTCCGGTTTAGCAACCGGATGTGCTGATCTCGCAGTTCTGGGAGAGTGCTTCCTTCTTGTCGCCATTTTTTCTGCCCGAGAAATCACTGTTTACAGTTCAGAGAAAGTTTCTAAAAGTCACTGAAAGTTCATTTATGAAGTTGCTTTAAACGGATCTGTGCTTTACTTGATTCAATCTGGAATCACCATTGCCTCTAGACCCTTCTGTTGCTTAGAGAGTTTGTTTAAAGTTGCGGGGGGCAGACTCCCCCCCCCGCGTCGTTACAGATCGGGGCTTCGGAAAGACGCTTAACTGCAACCAGTTAAAGAGAGATTGCACTCACACTTCATTCCATTCCGGCTGCAGAGATAGGGAAAACTTTGTAGTTTCGCTTGATCACTTGTTCGCTCGCCCGGTGTATGCCTCTTGAAGCCATAATGGCGCCGCAACAGCGGGACCTATCAGGGCAAAGGGGAGCCTCGATCCCTTGGCCGCAGACTCGGGAGAGGCACCCCTCGTGCCCCAGGCTGGGGGTCCCCTACAAGGACTCTGGGGGGGTGTCTGGATCAACCCGCCCCCCTCCCATCCACCGCATCACGGGCTGCCCCATCGGAGCTCCAAAGGAGCACGCCCGCCATGCGAATCGCCAAAACCAAAAGTCGGTCAAGGGTTAGGTTTTTTGTGGGGTGATGTCAACCAGGGGCATATCTATATTTAGTTACTTACAACACTTTTAATATAGTTTTAATGAAATTATAGGAAATATGAAAAGGTTTGGATTAGGTTTATGGTAACAATAGTTAGAAATGGGTCATTGCCTAGAAAAAGAGGTGTAGGAGCTCATTTGCATAACTCATTTGCATATGCCACACGCCCTGAAAAGGGCAGGCATGTTTAAAACAAGTTATGCAAATGAGTTTAAATCCCCCCCCCCAAAGTCTCTCCGTAAAAGCTGTCATAAATAAGAACCTTTTTGCAGTTCCTCAGATCCATGTTTCATGGATCAGCATCAGTGGGAGGCTTTGGTTAGTCAGCATCAGCGGGAGACTTTGGTTAGTCTCCAGGGCTTTCACAGGTTGGCCACTGTGAAAGAAGATGCTGGAGTAGATGAACTACTAGTTGGATGGATGGCCACACCTGAAACCAGATCTGGTGTGATTGCTCTCCAACTTGGGGTCACTGAGATCAGCTCTTTTTCTGTTGCATATTATACCACATAATATTTTCAGAAATATATTGGAATTCATTTTTGTTGCTGTTGCTGGAAAGGAAAAAATATTATGGGTTGGATTTACCACTAGACTTCCACTAAAGGAAGAGGGGAATTATTCTGCTGCTTGCCCCTTTCCCTGAAGACACACCCTTTTTATCCTTCATGTTGTTCCTTAGGCTTCCCATCCCCTAGTATTTATTGGGGGGTGATTTAGTGGAATGGGGGGAGTGAGTAAATCTAATTCCACTGAGTGAAATCCCTTCTGTCACCAGAAATGGAAATGGCCAAGAGCTACTTGTATACTGGAGCTGACCTTATACGCCTGGTTTTTGGGATCCAGTGCTGGCTTTTCTGATCATGTATGATAATGGAAGTCATCTACCATATGGTGCATGCATGCTTCTCTTGAATTATTAGTTCTCCTTAACTATAATTTGCTGGGGACGTACAAATGCTAGGGCAGCCAGGGAACCCAGAAATTTAAATCCCCCCCCCCCGAGGTCTCTCCACAAAAGTCTCGCGCAGGGAGGCAGTCATGCCTGGGTTCCCTGCCCGATCATCTGCAGGGCACCTGGAGAAGATCAGGCAGGGAACCCAGACATTTAAATCTCCCCCTCCCTGAGTGTCTCCACAGGCGGGAGGCAGGGCCTGGGCTTCTTCCTGCCAGAGGGGCGCTCCAGCAGGAAACAACCCCTGGTTAGAAAATATTATCATTAATATACAAAACTCTGAAGACTGACAAATATGGTGAGACCTGTCTTAAAATAGGCCAGTTTCTCAAAGTACAATAAAAGCTATTCCCAGATAGTTGCTGAGCTATATTCTGCCAGACTTAAAGTAGGGGAAAAATCTTTTTACTGAACTAAATTTACTGCAATGAGGAATTCTATAAGAATGGAAAACATACATACTACTTGATCAACATATCTTGGTCCAATACAAGATAATTTTACCTACTCTCCATCTCCTGTTCCTTGAGACTCACTTTGTAATCTCCACATAGTGACTCAGTGTATTATATAATTCTATTAGACAAACACACAGAAGACCATGGACTTCAGCCACAGCACTCATTATGCAAGCCTTCAAGGCTCTCATAGCTCTCCTACAGAAAGTGCATTTCAGTCATTTCTGCAGCAAAATCCACCATGGTTATCTGCATATAACCAGCAATTCTACTGGCTTGACAGTCCATTAAGCTCAGCAAACAGTATATGGCAGTTTAGGATAAGAACATTACAACATATGAGAACATAACAGAAGCCAATGTTGGATCAGGCCAATGGCCCATCCAGTCCAACACTCTGGGTGCCATCAGGAGGTCCAGCAGTGGGGCCAGGACACTAGAAGCCCTCCCCACTGTTGCCCCGTCCCAAAAAAACCCCACCATGAATACAGTGTATCACTTGCCCCAGGCTGAGAGTTCCTATCTATACCTTGTGGCTAATAGCCACTGATGGACCTCTGCTCCATACGTTTATCTAATTCCCTCTTGAAACTGTCCATGCTTGTAGCCGCCACTACCTTCTGTGGCAGTGAATTCCACGTGTTGATCACTCTTTGGGTGAAGAAGTACTTCCTTTTATCTGATCTAACCCGACTGCTCAGCAATTTCATTGAGTGTCCATAAGTTCTTGCATTGTGAGAAAGGGAGAAAAGTACCTCTTTCTCTACCTGCTCTATCCCATGCATAATCTTGTAAACTTCAATCATGTCACCCCTCAGCCATCATTTCTCCAAGCTAAAGAGCCCCAAGCGCTTTAACCTTTCTTCATAGGGAAAGTGTTCCAACCCTTTTATCATTCTAGTTGCCCTTTTCTGCACTTTTTCCAATGCTATAATATCCTTTTTGAGGTTTGGTGACCAGAACTGTACACAGTATTCCAAATGAGGTCACAGCATTGATTTATACAGGGGCATTGTGGCATTGGCTGATTTGTTTTCAATTCCCTTCCTAATAACACCCAGCATAGCATTGGCCTTTTTTTATTGCAGTCGCACACTGTCTCGACATTTTCAGTGAGTTATCTACTGTGATCCCAAGATCTTTCTCTTGGTCAGTGTCTGCCAGTTCGGACCCCATCAACATGTATTTATAGTTAGGATTTTTGGCTCCAATATGCATCACTTTGCACTTGGCCACACTGAACCCCATTTGCCACATTGATGCCTACTTGCCCATCCTCAACAGATCCCTTTGGAGTGCCTCACAATCCTCTTTTTCACCACCCTGAACAATTTTGTGTCATCTGCAAATTTAGCCACTTCACTGCTTACTCCCAACTCCAAATCATTAATGAACAAGTTAAAAAGCATCGGACCCAGTACTTATCCCTGTGGTACCCCACTGCTTATCACCCTCCACTGAGAAAATTGCCCATTAATTAGCCAGTTTTTGATCCACAAAAGGACTTGTCCTTTTATCCCATGACTACTGACTATTGAGCTTACTTAGGAGCCTTTAATAAGGAACTTTATCAAAAGCTTTCTGGAAGTCAAGGATGATTTAGAGGAAGCATGTGACTATGCCAACAGAGCAGAGATGCTCTCACTATGAGGCAATTACCACAGGCTTTATTAAAGTGTACCAAGTTTTGCCTTTATTTTCAAGAGTTTTGTTTTAAAAGCCATCCACAGGGTGGGAAAAGGAATGCCTACACAATAGGGCATGCAGGTTTCCTAGGAACACATCATCTAGGACAACATATACCTTGAACAAGATGCCTCCATGAAAACACCTTTTCTCTAGGAAACACCAAAAGATACTCCACAAGTCAGTGTGAATACCAATACTAGTCTCCAATGCCACTAACCTGGCCACAGCACACCAGAAGCTGAAAATAACCATCATGTAAGAAAAGATCTACAGTTATTTTTATTTTAAAGTTACACATTTATACTTTGCCTTTCTTCCATCATGAAACTCAAGGCAGCAAACAAAGGCTTCTCATAATGCATCCAATCCAGGCGCTGATCAGATGCAAACCTACAACTGCTGAGCTTCAACATGGTACCTTTTTGTACATAGGTTTACAGAGAATGATTAGAAGGCACCCATCACAAAAATCATCTGCCTTCCAAGCAAGAACAGACAAGACTAGAGAGCAATGGCTTGGCTTCACATCCAGGTGACAAGCAAATGAGCATAGCCTAGGAAGATGCCACAAGGCAAGGCAAAAAACAACTAAGGTTCAGGAATAATCAGAAACAGAGGAAATTACTTTCATACACCAAATAATGGTCAATGTGAACAACCTCCCTCTAATTAGGCAGGCTGCAAGAATAAACAAAACACATCTGCAGAATCTCTCCTGGGGAAATCACATTGGATTTCATACCTCAAACAATGTAACTGTTCTGGCAGTCCCAGAACACCCAGAGAAAGGTAAGAATTGAGGCACCAGACCATAATCAACTGCATCTTGAAACTACTTCCCCCAGAAGATATGGCACATATGTCACTATCACTAGCCTCCAGGTATCTAGTAAAGCTGCTTTAAGCCTCACATGGTCTGGAGCCTTTAGTCAGATACAGTGAGTAACCCCATCATATTAGAAAAACAGTTTATTCATGCTAAAATTATACTTAAACAGGCAGCTTTATAAAACAAACAAAAAATCTGACTTGTTTTACATACTATACTTATTATACATACTATACTGGCTGAAACTTCTAAAAATGCTAAGGCATCTGAATGGCATATGGCTTGAATTGAATAAGAGAGACGCTACTAATGGTGCCCCTTCACCAAACGGAGCCATTCTGACTTAAGGCTATACAGAACAATATATTTATTTATCATACCATATATTCTAATAGTCAACCCAGCCAAATCTGAAGATACTTAAACCCACAACAGTTTTGAAGTATTCCAGGCTTGGTTTTGGTCAGTAAAAGGTAGGGGGCGGGGCAGGGCCACCTCCAGGGTTGTCTTGGCTTTTGAGGGAGGACTTATCTGGGACTAGCCTGGTGGCAACCACCAAACAACCTGCCACCACCCAACTTGCATGATTTATCTAGGCCTGGCTGCTTGCTACTGTTCAACAGCAGCCATCCTATGAAAGCCAGTGTGGTGTAGCAGTTAGAATAATGGTTCCCAAAGTGGGGGGTACCACCTCCTGGGGGCAGTGGAATTATCTAGGGGGGCACTGAAAGTGGGCTCCTTTGACCATGTTTTCATTCATTTATGACTGACCAGGTTATGGCACCATGCTGACAGTCTGCACTCCAAGTTTCTGCCTCTGCATAGGAAACTATCAGAATTTGTAGAAAATATACCACCAGAGCTCTAGTCAGCCCATTATACTGCATTCTGAGAAACTCTCATCACCACATGTGTTTTTGTCTCTGTCATTTTTCAAATGTTGCTGTTAAGTCTCTAACACAATAGTACTGAGTATGGTATTTATTTTCCTGTGTGCTTGGTTACTAAACCTGTTGATTATGAAGTGTACCTTTTATAAATATAAATGTTTTATACATATAAATTGTACCAAGAGTTTTGGTTATGTCTGATCGCTATCCTGCATCATACACAGTGGTTAAGAAGCTCCTTGTTGCATTTCCAACATCATATTTGAGTGGAACATGCTTTTAGTGCGGTCATCCAACTTCTCCCCAAGCAAAGAAGTCAACTCCATATTACTAAACATGGAGATTTAAGATCATCAGTCAGGGCAATCAAGGCCATTTCCATCCCCAAAACAGGCCTGAATCCAGATTGAAATGGGTCTAGATAATCCGTCTGCACCAGGACTGCCTGGAGCTGTGTAGCCACCACCTGGGCAAGCACCTTGCCCAAGAACAGAATACTAGCCATTAGGCAGTAGTAATTTACATCATTTGGGTCCAGGGAGACTGCAACTACTCATGCAGGTTTAAAGCAGACATGCCGTAAGATGACTTACCGGTTATACTCTGATAATGCCTGAGCAACCACAAGACCCATTCCCTGCCAGAACAAAGCAATATATTACATTAAAATCCCTATAGGGCACAGCTGTATAATATGCAAAACCGAGCAGAGAGACATCCTGCAATCCAAAAAACCTCCCTTCTAAATTAACCACAAATGAATGCACACTGGGAAAAGCTGGTTACAAGTAAATCTGAAGTCCAACCCATCATTTGTGTCCTACTCCATCCAGTCTCAATACAGTTCATTGTTGTATTTCTAGTGTTTTGGGGAAACCTGCTGAGGGAGGGGCCGTGGCTCAGTGGAAGAGTCTCTGCTTTGTATGCAGAAGGTCTCAGGTTCAATCCCCGGCATCTCCAAATTAAAAGAACCAGGCAGTGGATGATGTGAAAGGCCACTCCCTGGGGAGCTGCTGCCAGTCTGAGTAGACAATACTGACCTTGATGATGGACCAAGGGACTGATTCAGTATAAGGCAGCTTCATGCATGTTCATGTGTATACAGTCACAAGTATAACAGGACTTAAAATCTATCATACTTACATTCAGTGTGGCCTCATCATCTATGATAGACAGCTTCACTATGTAAGGATTCACAGACTGTGTTGGGAAACAGGAAAAGCACAGGTTAGTTTATTTATTTTATTAACTCCATTAATACACTAACTTTTTCCACAATGAGGAAAAAGCTTGTATCATTCTCTTCTCCATTTTACCATCACAACAACTCTGTGAGGCAGGTTCGGCTGAAAGTGTGACCAGTCCACAATTACCCAGCATGATACCATGGCAGAGTTGAGATTCTAGGATCATAGTCCAGCACCCTAAGCACTACACCACATTGGTTTAGCAATTCACCAAAGCTAACACAGCTTCACACATGGTTTTATCCTACTTGTGCCTCTCAGTTCAAACCATGGGACTCTGGACTCTTTTCCCCAAAGCATCAACGTCACATAGATATATATATGTTACTTCATAAAAGGTACTGTGAACCACCACTACAGTATATTCCAAACTGCATATGTCTAGCACCTGAAAACCCAAACAGATAGAGTGGTATCATGTCCCAAATTAAATAAAACCTCCTCTTCACTGCTGCCCTCCAAAATGAACACACAGTGACATTGCCTACATACACTGCCAGGCATACAATCAAAAATCCAGTGCCAAATAAATCACAATAAGACCCTAAATGGAGCCAAGAGATGGGAAAGCATAGAAAACAGACCTCTGCCATCTTAAGGACTGATGATTTTCATTGTGCCATTAATTTCTGGAGAGCAGAGCCTATTATACTAAGTTCAAGAAGATACAAAGATTGCTAAATCCCAGGCAAAATTCAGCAGTTTATTCCATTTACACAAAACAAAGCTCAATACAATGCAATCTCAAAAGATTAGAATTATATCATGATAAAAATATAATGATGTTTCAGTGCTGGAAACTGCTTTCTAAAATTATTTTCTTATATGCGTTGAAGGTCTTGGTGGATTGAAATATGGGAGAATGTTTTTCATAGCTGACAGATCACTATTTAATGGGAAAGCAACTGAAGAGTGGCCAGGATCAAAATTAAAATAATAAAAGATTGGGAAGACTTGCTGAAAACTTAAAGTTAAAACATGGGTGATTGATCACAATTAGATTTTGTAGGAAGAGATCTCTCTGTAACTTGGCAAAGGGCAGAGAATGTGTCAGAAACAAGGCTCATGGCCACAATCTTGTTGCCATGAAACCCAAGAAAAGCTGGAAAAACAATAGATCTGAAATGCACTCAGTTCTGTGCCATTGGATCACCTTTAAAAAGTGAAGAAATTTCTCCATGACAAACTCACAGTCAGAAACAAAGGCCCCCAGGTCTGTGACAGCCCTAATATGTGTGCAGTTAAACACTCCCTTTTGGCTGTCTGATGTATAATCATTTTAAATACTCTTTAATCTTCCAGCAGCAGAGACAAATCAGCGGAACAGATTGTCTTTTGCCCTGCATTTCAAAACAAAGAGCTCCCTATCTTTACAACTATTCCCTATACCAAAGGCCGCCAATCTTTCTACAGAATGGCTTTAATCAGATGTGGTGATAGCTTTGGAGCCACTCACCAAGATCAGCAAAACATTGCTTCATACAACAGCACTATCTTTATCCCAGAACAGAATTTCCCATTTTTGCTTTAGATGTAGGAGCCTGTGACAGCTACCAGATTTTTTCACTGAACTATCCACCACCATCAAGGCTTAATCCTTCCTTAAGAGCAGCTACACCTGAGCCTACCTCTGCTTATGACCAAACCCAGTTGTTCCTTTTCACCTGCATTTCCTTATGCTTCCTTCTGGTGAATTTCAGCTACCCTTCAATCGGACACTTTCATGACCAGCAGTAACTAGAAGCCCTTGTTCTTGTCATACCCACATAATTTCTTTTTTGGCTTCCCAATTTCCTCTGAAAGAGGAACAAAGGCCATAGCAAGGTTTCCAAAGTTTCACACATACATACATACATGTATGGGAACCATCAGATGCAGACTGGCTGTACACTTGAAACTATTTAACTGATCAAAGCCACCTCAAGCACAGTATTTCCATGCATAGAAGTCAAGCAACGAAACAGTTGGTATAAGGAAGTTACTCACGTCCATATAAATAGATTATTGGTCCACCTAGCCCTGTAGTACCATCTGGGTTTTCATGGTCTTAAGCATCTTCCCAGGCCTGCCCGCTAAGATCTAGCAACTTACGGAGCTTTTGTGTATTTTCTGAAAGCATACCATCTTTCCACAAATTCTAATAAGCAAGCATTTGAAAGAACTCTCAAGTGTTTTTCATTTTTTTAAACAATTTCATAAGTAGCAATAGGAATGGAAGAGATCAGATGTCCTTACTCCTCCCCTGGTGAGTTTATTAGAGTACACTGTTGAGATTCATTCATTTCCCCAATGCAGTTCATTATTTAGCAATAAAATTGAAAATAAACCATGTCTCATTATATACACCAATAAATAAATTACAGGGACTTGTAAGCCCCCTTTTCAAAATCTGGGACACAGGATGACTCAAGAAAACAAAGTAAAAAATTAGGATGGTTCTGAAGTCCTGCATTAAAATTATGATGGTTCTGAAGTTCTGCATTAAAATATTCAAATTACAAAATAAGAAAAGACAACTAAGTAAAAGTTCAGACTATAAGCATAGAAATGCTCTACACACCTACCTTTTAGTTCTAAGACTGCAGTAGAAATGTATTTTCAAGTTATTCTCTCCTATCAAGAAACTACTAACATGCTTTAGAAACAAAACAGAATTTCAGGATTCTGTGAAAAGATTTAACTCTGACTGAAGAGAGTGCTCTGACTGAAAACAGTTTCATACTGAGTGAGGACTGGGAAGGTTGGCAAGGAGGAGTGGGTGGATCAAGGAAGACCACCCCCATTTGGGCCAGGAAAAGGGATAGATCTTCTACTTAGAGAAGAGATCCCATGCCCAGTTGATAAGTGAGATAGCTCAAAGACTGGAGTGATCCATGGTGTGTTTAGAGAAGGAATCTGGGTACTTGGTAGTGTATCCCTGCCTTTAAAACCTAAAGTCAGTTAAACTCAAGGAAGTGAATTGGAGTGTTTAGGAAACACTAAAACAAAAGCCTCTCCATCTCAAAGATTCTAAGACTGTGAAAAGCTTAAGAACTCTCACTTGCTGGAAACATTCAAATGTGAAATTACTAAGTTACCTCAGAGTTCATTATTGATTCACCTCAGACATTTTACCCCTGATTTCACCTGACCTTTCCCCCTCTATGCTGAATAAACTATTTTGTTTATTTTTAAACTTTAAAAAGCCTCTTGTATGCTATTTTCTGAAGTTTAAAGTTAACGAGGGTAATCTTGTCTCTTCCCTCAAGTTCCTGGGCTGAGCCAGCATCAAAATACAATACAGTGACAGGGTGGGACAACCATACATCTTCAGATATAAAGAAAATAAAGGAGCTGCTCAGTCAGAAAGAAAGGAAAAACAGAGGGAAAATCTCATGTTTGAGTGAGGGAACAAGGCTAGGTCATCACAGGGATTCTGATGGAAGCCAAACTCCAAAATTTACTGCCATTCTGATTTCTATGCTGTGGCTCAAATAAAAAATTACAGGCAAGCCATGATTAAGGAAGCTTAACTATGATTTGGTGCAATTCCTTAATTGATAGCATTATAGCCACAAAGACCCTTGTGCACACAGAGCTAAACAGACAGAAAATTAAAGTAGAGGAGTGACTCTGGATTGCTTGTAAAAACATTTACACACGCATTTACATGGCTTGGTCCTAAACCATGATTACTGCAAACCTTAGCTGGGCATGATCGCTGTTGCCTTGCATAAACGTTAACCATTTGAACAGTTTTTTTGAAATATTTTACCCCACTTTTGCAGCATGAGTGCTGTGAAAGCAACTTACAATAGCTTAATCAATGATGACAAACAAAAGGAAAACTTCAACTATACTTCAAAAATAAAATGCATCCTGATCTTGTGCAACAGAGACTGAAGACTGAAAAACTTATTTTGCCTTGGGTTTACAGGGTCAGAACCCACCAGTCAAGTAAAGAGTATTTAAATTGCTTTGTTTTGTACTGTAGAAGAGCTTGATGCTCATAGTTAGGAGCAAGACAAAGTACCCTGCCCTCAAAAGAATAATCTACAGGCTCAGGTAAGCTTTACTTGAGTTGTGATGTCTCTCCGATTCCCTGGGTGTAAAGAAAGGCTTTTGGAAATTGAAGCTGAATATTCATCAAACCAACAGATAGAAATTCTGTGCTGGTTCAGGCCATTTATTCAGGTCATGAGAATAATTCTGAAATGTAAAATATAAGTAGCCACTGAATCAATTATAAAGGCTCAAGCAAATATCCCCTGGTAAAACCAGAGGAAACCAAATGCTGAAGCAGTTTCAAAAACGTGGGGGTTGGGGGGGTGTTTTTTTTGGGGGGGGGTTGCAAGCAACTGATGTTTCCCTTATAGACAGACACAAAAGTCTTAAGAAACAAATATGTTCCCAAAAATAATTAGATTTCCTTAACCTAATGGAACAATTTAGCAGCTCACAAGGCTCTGGAGGAAAGAGTATGATCAGCAACAGCACACTCAAAATGAAAAGACTCACAGTGTACAAAGTTCACATGGAGAAGAGTTGCAGGGTTGAAGACATGAGGCAAATACGTGCAATTCTGAAGTCTCTCAAGATTGACCAGGGAAAAATAGCTACAGTTCTTTCAAAATTGAATTACTTTATAGTATATAGTAATATAGTAAGAGCCAGTTTGGTGTAGTGGTTAAGTGCGTGGACTCTAATCTGAGAGAACCGGGTTTGATTCCCCACTCCTCCACTTGCTCCTGGCTGGATGACCTTGGGCAAGCCATAGTTCTGATAAAGAGCTGTTCTTGAAAAAAGAGCAGTTTCTATCAGAGCTCTCTCAGCCCCACCTACCTGTTGTGGGGAGGGGAATGGAAAGGAGTTTGTAAGCCGCTCTGAGACACCATTGGGTAGTGAAGGGCGGGGTATAAATCCAATCTCTTCTTCTTCTTCTTCTACATCATATTGTATTGTCTCTTCCCTATGACATCATATTGTATAAACAGAAACCATTCCAACCGCAAGACAAATCCAAGACAACCCCTTGGAGAAAAATCAAGCTGCACTGAAGCCATTCCCACCCCCAAGAGAACTCCTTATCACCTGAACTGAGCCAGGTTACTTCACTGACCTTCATCTGGTCAAAGAAAACATATCATTCCTTTCTTCAGAGGAATATTTCCACTGAGTGTCTTTAGTGCTGCTTTTAGATCTTGAAAGACTCCTAAAATCTGGAGAGTTTTTACCAGCTCTGAATAAATACTGGAAGCATTTTGTCTAAGAAAGAACCCATGATAACTTCCTGCAATAGCTAGCCCAGATAATTTTAATGAAGTAGTCTTTTAATTAGACAACCAACATTTTATTTTGAAGTTGCACTCATGGCTACCAAGCATATAAAGGCTGCTGAGCATATCAAAGTTTTCTGATGCATGAGTCACTTGTACTTCTTCAAACCCACACGTCTGTCTACAAGTATTATTCTGGTATCTTCAGCATAGTCCTACACCTAGATAGTAAGGAACAAGTCGGGGGGGGGGGGAATAACAAGAACACAATGAAATAGAGAAGGAGACGAAGAAAGGGTGCTGTTTTATTCAGCATTGTCACCTAAGTAAAAGCATTTTAATTACACAAGTTCAAAAATATGATACAGGGAGCTGCTGCAAAAAGAAGGAATTGAACACACCTCTTGCTCAAGCATAAATGCTTTTCTACTCATGCAAGGGCTAAGTGTAGATATAATGTAGTAATTGTAAAGGGTTGTGTTTAAATAATGCCTATATACGCTGTAGCAGGCAACATCTCAGGCGACAATGCCCTTTATTTATTTATTTATTCAATTTATACCCCGCCCTCCCCGCGAACGAGCTCAGGGCGGCTTACAGCAGTGGCCCAATTACCAATAAAACTGATAAAACAATATGCATCATTTCATAATAAGTTAAAACATAAAAACATACAGGAAGATATGCCTCTTTTAAGATAATGCTCCCATTTGCACTTTTTATAAGTACTCGTATTAAACATTTGAAAGATCTGCTGCCCAATTAATCAGCAGCACCTTCTTGTCCAAAATGTTTTAACCAATTGATCCAATCAATCAAATGTTATAGCAGTATTTTTCCCAAACACTAAAAGAAAGGGGGGCATGTATTTCCCAGCTAAAACATGATTACCTTAGTGTGACCAATTTACTTTTGCTTACAAGTATCCCTTAAAGTGAAACTAAGAGTCCACAAGTGCATTTTTCTCATATCTTACCTTCTTCCCTCTACTTGACTGGAGCACAGCATAGACTGCAACTGGATTATGCTGCCCTATTCTGTCACCCAGAAGGTTGGTTCAGTGATCTTTCCCCATCACTCCAAGAAGGCTATTTACTTCCCAAGGCTTTGTGTTTCACACATACACACCCCATTCCTTTTTTAAAAAATTATTTATATTTTTTGTTATACAAAGCATGTAAATACATTATCAATTAATAAACACTTTACATTGAGTCTGTTATTACTTAGTATTGTTTATACAGTTGTATAATCTCGACCTTTTTTTCAAAAAGAAATGTTCCCCTTTCCCTTGAATTAACAAACTTAACTTATCCATTTCTGCTAAATTTAACAACTTTGAACTTATCTCTTCCCTACTGGGCGTTTTCATACACACCCCATTCCAAATCCTTCCAGTTTCCTTCCTCATACCATCCAACTAATGACTTTCAACTAAGAGTGTCTCATCTCTCCACAATGGCTTCATGCCAACTCCTGAGAGGTTATAATAAGTTGTATTTTATATTTAAATCCCCTGCCCTTTTATTTCTTCCTGACTAGAGCCTGCAGAAATATTAACCATATTAATATATCTTGTTTCCCCAACCAGAAGTTATAAACTTCAGCAAACACCACTACATAAAACAGCAAGTCTAAATTCTGCAGACTGTGCAAGACATTCAGAGACATAATTAAGGCATCATGCCACATATAAACTGCAGGAAATAGTAGCCAGGAACCAGCAAAGCCACTCATTTACTCTCTCCCAAACACATCCTCCATTCATCCAAGGAACTGCATCTGGATGCATCTTAGAATGCATCTGGATGACATTGCAGGTCATCCTCTTATCACATGACTATCCATTCTCCCAAGGGTGCTAAATTTACCCTGGCTCACTATTAAGCTACCAAATCATATGCTTAGGATCGAAAGCCCAGCATGCAAGTCCAGCCTATGGAACTCTCTCTCCTACTGGCAGTTTTCCTAAGTGGTACAGAAACTTGCAATCAAAGCAACTACACAGTCTCATACCAAATCATAAACTCCATGAAATTCTTTTCCTTGTACGTATAAGAAAGAAACTATGGGGTTGTTTCTATACACCAGGGTTTGTTTATTTATTCATTAGTTAAATTTATATCCTGCCCTTCCCAAAATGGGCTCAAGGCAGGCAACAACAAAGTGCATAAACAATTAACAGCATCCAGGGGAACCAAAGTGCCCACTGATACTTCCCCCTGTGCTCTTTTCAGACAGCTGGGCCACTGTAAGGCAGGGCATGTAACTGGCTAACCACAGTCAGATGAAAGGGTTTTCCACAGCTGCAACAGCAGCCACAGACACTGTAGGATGAGAAGCACTGGTAAGTGGCCAGGTTTGTGGTTCCATTCCCCCTCCAGATTTTCTTTTCATTTCCCCTTCTCCTTTTCAGTTCCTCCCACCCAGGTGCCTTCATTTCTTTTCATTCTCCTTCTGTAGTTCTTCGCAAAGCAAGGAGGAAGGTATTGTTTGACTCTGCCTCCTGGGGCAGACATTTTTGTTCTGGTTTTCCCAGGTGTGGAAACCATTTGGAGTGCTCCTCACCACCACCTCTGAAAAATCCAAAGGTGCTAACAGGCTCGAAAAAGGTGTGTGTGGGGGGGTCCCCTGCTATACACCTATGCAACATACACTGAAAACACATAGATGTTATCAACCTAGATTCAGGCAAGCTTCACGTTTTAATATGCCTCCATTACCTTTCTACTACGTAACAGTATAGTTACAATTGTGCACACCAGCTTATGAGGTCCTAAGGGCCAAGTAATTGAAAATGGCAAGGTAGCTCACATACATTCTATATGAAGCACTCACCTCATACTTTCTGTAATTTACTAATAAAGCAAGCAGGACAACAGCTTCGTAACCATGTTCCCTACGACTGGGTGGATTGGAGAGGATCTAAAGTCAGAAAAATAACAAATTAACTAAATGTGTCAAGGAGCAGTGCCAAGCATACTGAAATATGCAAGAGATCTGTAATGGTACAAGTCAATTCAAAGCATCCAGAACCCAAAGGGGAACCTAAGCAGCATGGGAATAGGCAGGGCCATCTCCTGACCGTTTGAAGGGCAAGAGGCACAACCTCTTCTCTTTACAGAAGTGCCATCATGTGACATGACAATATATTCCATATTGTGTTGGCCAATGATCACAATATGTTACTGAATGTCAGGGGAAGCCCTGCTGGAGGTGTAGTGGTCCATCTAGTCCAGCATTCTCTTTCACAAAGTGGCCAACCAAATGTCCTTGAGGGTCAACAAACAGGGCTCAGAGGTCAAGGTCTTCCCTTAATGCTGCCTCCTAGTACTGGCATCCAGAAGTTTATTGTTTCTGGATGTGGAGTAATCATGGCTAGAAGCCACTGATGGACCTGTCTGTCATAAATCCATCTAATTACATCCATGGGCAGTAAAATCCACCATTACTGAGTGAAGAAGTACTTCCTTTTGTCCCTCCTATTGCTCTTCTTTTAGTTTACTTTTCTGTAAACTACAAAGCTCAGACTCTTTATGAAAGGTGCACCAGCACCTTAATCATCTTGGTTGCTCTCTTTTTCACTATCCAGCTCTACAATAGTTTGGTATAGTGGTTAAGTGTGCAGATTCTAATCTGGGAGAACCGAGTTTGATTCCCCACTCCTTCACTTGCAGCTGCTGGATGACCTTGGCAAGCCATAGTTCTGTCAGAGCTGTCCTTGAAAGAGCAGTTCTTGAAAGAGCTCTCTCAGCCACCTTCCTCACAGGGTATCTGTTGTGGGGAGGGGAAGGGAATGGAGTTTGTAAGCCACTCTGAGACTCCAAGTGAAGAGTGGGGTATAAATCCAATCTCTTCTTCTCTTCTTCTTTTTTGAGCTGTGACCAGAATTATACACACTATTCCAAATGAGGCTGTATTGTTTTACAGCATTAGCTGTTTCATTTGCTATTCTGCAGGCCAAGTTCTTTCTTTGAAAAAAAGTGGGGGGACATGTGAATAAACAGTTGGCTGATCTACTAAAAATGGGTCAATTTTGTCTGTAACTAATCTGAGGAATAAGGCCCACAGTGTTGTGTGTCTCCTTTCATACAGAACAACCTCTTAAATTCAAGCACTGGCTAAGCCGAAACAAGAGCGATGATAACATGCAAACCTAAAATAAATGCTAGGTGGCATTTAAATAACTTTAGGGGGGGGGAGTATGACTTAAAGCAATGAAGTATAGTGAATTAAGTGTCCCAAGGAATAGGGTGGGTGGGAGAGTACCTGTAAAATAGCTTCAAAGATGCTGTTAATCATCACATACTCCAGAATTGTGTTCTGACTGATGTTATCTGTTACCTGGATTGAACCAAAGGCTTATTTAGAACATTCTAGGAATGCTAATAAAATTAAGTTGCCCTCTGTTATCCACTACTATTTATTGAAAATATGTACTCTGCTGATTTTTTTTGCTGAACCCACCAACCATTCTTTTTTTTAATTACCTGACACTTTAGAGAAGCCATAATGATCTCTTGATACACATTTAATTCTTCTACTTTACTAAAACGTGCCCATATCCTACGCAAATAAAGATGTATTCCACTCTTCAAGATAAGTGACCAAGATAAAACTAATGTACAAAGCTGCATCTTCCCTACAAAAGTTAAATGTACAATATTTCTCTCCATGAGAAGTAAACTACCTTAAAACTGCACTGATATAGGACAGCTTATTTTTGTGTGGTGATGAAAAGCAGTTAATGCAGTTGCCACAATCACAACTCTCTGAATTTCATCTCCATTATACAATACAGTACTGACCAGATGGCACTGAAATTGCCCCATTCATTAGAAATCACAATGCTTACTTTAAAAAGATTTTTCCCACCCAATCAAGTCTGCAAACTTTATACTTTGTACAGCTTACTTACAGTCACCAAGCAGAGCAGTAGTTTCAGACACAAACTCTTGAGGCTTTCAGACCCTTCTGCACAGAGGAGCGAGTCCAAACTCTCCATCAGATTCTAGAGAAAATATAATTTACAACTCATTGCATACCTGTGTTCACTGTCTTCCACACCACTGCAGCTTGGCTGCATGACACTGAATCCCATCAAGATTCAAAAAGGGCTAGAATGAGGCCAGTTAAAATCTAGCTCAAACTGTTTAGATAATATCCAGTGTTATTTTGCAGGATTATGACAATACTTAGCAAATTTCTTCTCTTAAAATCCCAAGCACAAATATCCAATAAAGGTTTATCCATGAGACATTAGGACTTTTCACACATTAAATTGTTTGCAAGTATATTAACACATATACATGTACAGTCTGTGTGAATGCCTGAATAGACATTGACTTCAACTTTGTACAGTACTGGCAAAAAGCCAGGGTTCAGAAAGCATATTGGTTGTGAGAATGATACAGGACACATACACATCTAGTCTACAACTGATACAGCAAACACAAATTGAACACATGTATACTGAATATGTGATCAAGACGTCTTAATGCAACAATTATCTTCAGAACTGTGTGTTCTATGTATCCAAACTACACGATATAGATGTGACACACAATGGTTCCAAATAAAAGAAATATGTATGCTCGAGTATTTTCATACAGAAACTGGAAAAAGTACAATTAGTATCTGCCTTAGGAATTCATGGGAGTCTTAGATGGGACCTTGCAGCAACTGTCAACAAAATACAATGACACGGTATTCCTTACTTTCACAGATAATGGAACCACAAACATGCACAGTACATGCAGTTCTGACATAATGATCTGCAATATTAGTGAAAGGACATTATTTTGGCCAGAGGGTATTTTGCTGCCAACTGGACATATTTCTATTTTTGCACATCAAATACAGTGCATAACCCTACTATAAAAATGTATATACTGCCTGGATACATTGATACATTGATCATCAGCTATTGAACAGGCACCATCAACTGTTGTTTCCTGTCTCTCACTTGTGTATGGAAGTCTAGCCAGCCGGGAGAGTGAAAACAAAACAATGAACGTGCATTCTGACTTTTTTTACACTTCACAAGCAGCTCAGTCCATACCTTGGATAGCTATATATGACAGATCATAGGAAAAGCAGTTAAGAAGAACCAAAATACAGCCGTGATATAATTACTCAGTGTAACAAGTCAATCATACTGTTTGCCAAACACATTCATATAAACATATGTAACGGATAAGTTATTTAAAGTTTATCCATTTAAATGGATAAATTATTTATTTAAAAGTACTTGTGCCAAAATTCAGTTCTAATTATTTCCTTATCAGTTTCAACAGCAAAACTACAGCAAAGAACTTTACACTGAGATGGACTGAAGTTGTGTAATAGAATTCTGCAAACAAATTTGACAAGATTGGTTTGACTTCCAGGTTTATCTTGAGAAAGGATGGAAACGGGGATCTTTAGCTGGGCCGTTAGAAGTCTTGACAGTTGCTACGCTTGGACTAAATATACATGAGAAGAAACTGATAAGAAAATAATTAGAACTGAACTTTGGCATGAGTACTTTATTTAAAACACTTATCCAATATAACCTTGCATGTATATGTTTATATGAATGTGTTTGGAAAACAATATAATTGACTTATACAATGTTACACTGAGTAATTATATCACGGCTGTATTTTGGTTCTTCTTAACAGTCCATACCTTGGGCTGGCCCTTTAATACTAGGAGAGACACTGTGCCGGAGATATTTAACAATCAATTTAATGTCTCTTCTTGATGCGCATCACTTTGAAGTCTAGGAAGCTCTCACCTTCATGCACATCTCAGCCTTGTCAAAGCCCATCAGCATGTTGATGATGTCAAAGCCAGAGGTGGATTTGTTCTTCTGATGAACCCCACGGATAAGTGCACATAGTGTCTGTCATGGGAAGAAGAGAGACAAACTCCAATACATAAAGAATCCTCATCTATAAGCTCCAAAAACGTCAGGTCACATTTCTAGGGGGACAGTGATGAATGTAATACTACATATGCTGATGTTTCTCTTCTACGACTTTTAGAGCTTGAAATTTTTGTGTACTTGTTTGTTTTTTGTTGCATTCAACATCAGCTTCCAGAGAACTTTTCTCAATAGCTCTCTTGAATTAATCTGACTACATGGGCACCAACAATGCAGCAAGGAACAGAACATTTTAATCATTTCCTAAATCTTACAGATTCTCAAAAAGAGATGTGTGTTCACAGTGAAGTGATATGTATGTCAGAGAACCTTAATGGCAACTGGGATCTTTCCCTCATCGACACAATGGTCACTAGATGGCTTTCCATAAGTTTAGTTTCATGAAAGCCAAGGATTGCTCTGTATATTAGAAATGAATAGTACAGCACCTGTAATGCATTGACCACTCTTATTGGATGTTCTTCTCCCAGGGCTCGGATGCAGCGTTGGAACAAACAGTTAATGTTATCTTTTATCTTCATTAACTCTTCACCATCTAGAGACTCCAGCTTCCCTTCTAAGTACTCCAGATTCACCTGTCAGACAAAGGGGGGAAAGGAATTATACGAAGTCACTGATCAAATTACTAGAGGTTGTAAATTATTATCAGAGCATTCTGAGAGATAAAAGATTCTTTTAAATTTTGGTATTACCTTCATAAGGAAAAGTTCTTCCCAAAACCGAGGGTTGCATTTACTGGGATCTTCTGTCTGAAAGAATAAGGAATCTTTGTTGCAAGGGACATAGTGAACACAAAATATAACTGTTCTGAAAGCAACATTCTAGGTCCAAGGAAACAGGCAGAAACATCCTATATCGTTTTCTATAGATTATCAACAGTGAAACTGCTGAGACAATTCTAAAAAGGGAAATTCCATTCCACTGTGGAGATCCTCTCTTCAAAGGAAGTAAGCAAAAGAATACCCAGAGGCACTTTATGAGAAGGAAGTCAATGATTTCTCACTCTTAACATCAGGAATCTCAGAATCTGAATAAATAAACCAAGAATGTGATCCAGAGGTAAAAGAATAGGCCACAGAAAGCTCCAAGGAATCCTATCTCAAGGAAGTGTCAGAGGAAATCTGTCAGAATAATGGAATTTTATCTTGGGGGGGAGGGAACAAAAGTGCTCCAATGAAAGTAAGTTTTTTCCTTACCGTGAAGATCTCATCATACATTAGCACAACCTTCTCTTTCAAGGGTTTCTTACTAGCAGAAGATTTCCGAAGCAACCCACCTTTCTTCTCAGCTTGTGACATAGTTTACAGCCTGTAGGTAAAGAGACACAATACATTCCTGAAAAGCTCTCTCAAGATACCCTTCCATAGTAGCCCTCGTGCATTCCCAAATCATGCTTAATCATCCAGTTTCCTGAGTTTGCAAAACACTTCATGCTATCTACTATATTGCAACCAACATAACATCCACAGGGATTCTTCACGCACAATACTTTTCATATGTAAATGAATAAGAAAGAAAGGAATGTGGAAAGCATATATTTGCTGCATGTAATATTTACACAGTTTTTTCACATATGATGACTATGCAGTTTTGGGGGGATTTTACAACTGCTGTAGGAACTATTTTACATATCGGGCATTAAAAAAAGGTGGACAGAAAGCCTTGCCAAAATTCGACCAGCGCACCCTTGGTGGCCAAGCCACAATTAAAAGAAGGATCTCTTACAGGTTGCTCAATGATCTACCATGAGTCATTCAGGCTTAGAGTATTACAGCCCACAAGCTGTAGCATCAAATCAAGCACATAAAGTAAGAATTGCATTAAGTCTGAGAACCAACAAAAGGAAGACGATAGGTTTACACATACTTCAGGTGTGCAAAATATTGTACATAGCTTCAAATGCAAATTTACATATATGTTTCAGGAGTCAGAAATTAACTTCCACATGTACACATGATGATGTACATAACTTTTCTGCTAATCACATGAGAAGCAACTCTGAAACAGTTTCTTGCATTATTTACCTCTTATTAATGAACTAGCTTTCCTTTTTGTATATAGAAACTAACAAAATGTGCATTATATTGCTCCATATTCCCATCACCTATGCATAACAAGGGGAGCGGTGGCGCAGTGGGTAAATCCCCTGCATAACTATAACATCTGAACTGCCAAGCTTTGTCAGTTCTAGCCCTGTGCTGGCGTGAGCAACCAAGCCTTGTCCCTAGCTCATCGTCTACCCAGCGATTCGAAAGCTTCGGCAAGTAGATAAATTGGGGACCACCCGTAAGGGGTTGGGCACACCACTCCCCTTGGGAGGTGTTAGCTGCCAGTGTGACATTTGCGACGCAGTGAAGATCAAAAGTGGAAAAATCTGTTTCGGCATTCTTCATGCCGTTGGGACATGACTGATGCAGCCTGCAGATGGAACCTCCGACCAGCTACAATGTGTGTGTGATTAAATATTGTATGTTGTCTTCCCTATCCCCCACGAATATATTGTTAGCCCATTGTCTCTGAGTAACTGTAAATCGCTCTGAGCCCGCATGAGTGGGAAAAAGCGATCAATAAATTGAAAGTATTATTTTTTTTATTATTTATAACCAGCAGAAGTCCCCTTTCCCCAGGCTCCATGCCATTCCTGTCCAAAGTGAGAGCTGTAAAACTAAAGCAACAAGCATCTGTCAGGCAGGCTAACAGGGGTAAAGCAGGGCTTGTAGCAGCTCTGTTCAGGCACAATAAATAATGCACAGAAGAGCAGGAACACGGCAGAACATTTCCAGTGCCCAGGGAGCTCTGCAAATCAGCCCCCAGAAGAGAATGTGGCAGCTGTTTACAAGAGACAGGGAATACCACAGCCCTTACCCTCCTGGTGCACTTTCAGTCACTGACATTTCAGTTTCAAACCACCACACAGAAGTTTATTTTCTGCTGATATCACACAGCCCGTAACCTTCTGCATTCCTACTATATATTTTCTGATCTAAGTGACAGAATGCAGATGATTTACCATTCGTACCCCTGGAAAACATAGTTCATCTCCTTCCAGCACAAGCAGACATCCACAGTAAGTCTGTGTAATACGAGTGGAATGTCCTGCACTTATTAACCTTCTGCAAGATCATGTTTATCAGACACTTACAATACACCTCTATGCAGAGTGACTCCAGTCTAACTCCAGTGAAATCAACTGGCTTAGATTAAAGGAACTCTGCACAGGATTGCACTGTTAGTTTTATAGCTTGCTTTTAATCTTTCTGTAGCTGCAAAATAATTTATAGTCACACTCTATAGTCACACACACAAGGAGGTCACATTCCCCTCCTTGGACAACTTCCCATTTCTTTCCACTGTATTACAGGAAACAAAATATTACTCAACAGGAAAATAAATTGGAATACAAAGATTTTTGAAAATTTACTTAGGAATAAGAAGGGGAGGAGAGGGAAGGCCTTAAACAAGCCTCTTCCAGTTGCTAACGTAAATCCAACATCTCAGCCTATGCATATCTGCTAAAGAGTGCTCTAACTGGCTCCCAGTTAAGGAATGAATCAATGTCAGAGCTAATCATCACGGTTGTTTTCTGATTTTGTTTGCAAGAGCTAATCATCTAACATGCCATACTTTGGGTTCAATGGTCTTGCACAGAGTTAAAGAATACCAATATTTTCCTTGTGTATATGAAGACAGAAGGCATTCTGCGTAGCAGGTTTCAACACTTTTTTTAGCAACCAAGAAGGCAAAGGATTCTAGGCTCCTTTGGGAAAGTAAGTAGCTACTAGTCTGCAGGACATACTGAACAGGAGGAGATACAGGGAGCAATCATAAACAGGTCTACTCAGAAGGAAACCCCACTGAGCTCAACTAAATACACTGAGGTCAACTAAATTTACTCTCAGGAAAGTACACGCAGGATCACAGCCAAAGAGACTTGAAACTCAAGAGCAGCCAAAACATTTTTTCTCCCTCTTCCTGCTTTTAAACATTTTGCCCGATCTCAGCGTTTCAGAGATCGAAAGCTTCCATACCTTTGAGAGTCATTATTATGGCTTTAGTTGTTTTCTTTTTTTTAATGATTTATTTTAGCTTTTCCAAAATATACAGCCATTAATATAGTTTTTAAGATAAGATACCAATACAGAGATAACAGAATAACAGGACTAGAACTGAGCTAAGCTACAGAAAAAGAGAACAAGTTTGGACACATATACGAAGAATTGCTACAGGCAACAGTAACAAAAATTCTGTCATTCTGATAGCTCCTACACAAGAGAATCCAAACTAACATGTGGAAAACTCCAAACAAGAAGGTGGAAATATTTTCTATATGTCTAGTACTTTGAGCTTTTTTCTGTCTCATGACCTACAGATATCACTAGTACTGAAAGCTTCTCACTCTCCAATTTTAAAAGGTGGCTGCTTGTGAGAGAAACAGCAGAAAAATCATCTCAACAAAGTCGCTCTGTAATTTCCACCCAAGTCTGACAACTGGCACCGTCAGGTTGAGCTGTGAGCCCCTGAGCCAAGTCTAGGGCCAAGTCAAGCTCAGGAGACTCTTCCAGTCACCACACCTAGAGCTTTCTTTCATGAAGACTAATTCAGCCATATATACCACCAAGCAACTGAGGGAAACCAGAGCCAAAAGGGTAGTCTCTGGCTGTGGTCACGCAGCAAGCTTATTGCGATTTGTTCCCACTATAGATTTGATTGGGAATATTTTGGGGGGGGTTGGGATGATCACACATCCCTCCCCGAACCGCAAGCATTGCACGACAAGGCTCTGGGCACTGTCTAGATAGCTGCACTGCTGCTTAGGCGGCGCAGCGTGAGGTTTTTAAAAAATTGCTTTGCACATGCGCATATGCACACAGCTGAATCAACGCCCCCACTTGGACTCACCATACTCATTTTTACAGCCCCCCCCCCAAAAAACCCGGCAAACAAAATGAACCAATGACGTACTACCAAGCACTGGAGTCTATATGTGCACTTGAACGTTTAAGCATTGAATTTATTCAGCGCATGCACACAAAGGCGGAAGCTGGGGGGAAAACCTCATCGCACGAAGGACAGTCAGATGACCTAATCGCAATCATTGTGAGAGATGGCTGTCCAGATCAGCGAAATCGCGGATTCAAAGCGCAAATACCTGGAAAGTACTTGATTTTCCCGGTGTCAGAAAACTCACTAGGGAACCGGGAGGATCGCACAAGTGAGCCCACTTCGGTGCAGGAGACGGATTCGGGTGTCTGATCAGCAATTTTAGATGCGAGAGGGAACAGCGGTGAAACACGATCAAAATGACCATGTGACCATGGCCTGACTAAATACTAGGGATCAACAACAGGGGTTGCAAAGCTTGCAAACCTCCCCAACTTCTTCCTAGACACCGCCAAAAGACAGAACTCTTGAGTGAGACCACTGGTCTGATAAGGTTTTGTGAGCTATCAAACCAAGGTCAAGACTGCCCTGTTAAAGACTCTGAAGCAATATCAGATCATGTATCTGCTGTGCTTCTCTGGGTCTTCCACCAGTATCTTTGTTTGCTCTCCCAAGCAGGATGGGGAGGGGGACTCACAGAAGTCAGCAGCTAAGAGCCCACGAGAACAACAGGACGGCACAGCTTTACATTATTGTCATTGTTGAGCACACCCAATTTTTCCTCACCCCCAACTTATGTGCTAGTCTCTGAGTTTTTCACCGATAACATGAAAAGAAGAAAACGTGGCACAGCAATAAGCTCTGATGGACATGCTATGAACGGGAATAATTCCTGAAAAGGGACTTTCTGTGTTTGAGCTCACCTGATAAAATATTGAATTTCACATTAATCATATCTTGCAATCTCACCCCATGACTCAAGCCTGTTTCTTTCTACTATATGCTAATTAGCCTATGTAAACAAAATTAAACCCTCTAATTATCAGAATGACTCCAGTGCTAATGAATTAAACCCCTTGTAACCCCACTGAAATGAATGCACAAATATGACTCACTCAGTAAACAGCTTTCATGTACAAGGAATAAATTAATACAAAGCCATTCTTAGGATATAAAAGGGTTAAACAACATTCATTTCTCATTAGCCTACCATTTGGTAAAACAGGACTTTTTCCAATGTGAAACCATAGGGTACTTTATTTAAAGAATGCTAGTCTTCTAACAGCAACTATTATATAGTTTGACAGATGAGAAGTTATAGAAGCCTTCTTACTGTAAATACTAAGCTTGTGGGCCATCATATTACAACTCTGTGGCTTATATGTTGTGTGGGAAGCACTTACCATCTCTCTTGTACAAACAGGAAGAGGAGGAGGGCATGGTAAGAGCTGCTCATGGTTCCAAATAATACCGTTTTGTAATGTAAGAATTCCTGCTTTCTTGCCCTGTGTTTGACCCCTCAGATTCCCCTAACAATGACTTCAATCATTGTCTGATTCCTCTAGCTCATGGGTCAGATTTCTTGGCTACCTGGAAATCCAACAGGCTGTTTGTACTACTTCAGAGTAGTGCATACACAAGGAGTCAAACAACTAGAAACCATAATCTGCAGACATAAGAGGAGAAAATGCTGCTGGTATAATTTGGCACAACAGCAGACACATTGATAATAAAACAATATTAATGTTAGAACAAGGTCTGAGTCCAGTGGCACCTTTAAGACCAACAAAATTTTATTCAGGGTATAAGCTTTTGTGTGCATGTGCACTTCAGGTGAAGAAGTGTGCTTGCACATGAAAGCTCGTACCTCGAATAAAAGGTGCCACTGGACTTAAACTTTGTTCTGTTGCTTCAGACCAACACAGCTATCCACCTGAATCAATATTAATTGTATTAGACATATAAGCAACACACATTACCTATTTATAGAGTTTTTATACTACTTCTCCAATGAACCTTCCTGAGGCAGTTTACAACATAATAAAAACATTAGAAATTCTTAATTAAAACCCAGTCAATCTGTACATAAAAAACATAGATACTAAAACACAATGATGGTATGCAAACAATATCACTACGCATACAAGTGTAACATAAAAAGCTCTACTTTCTCAAACAAAAAACAAAAAACAAGATGGCTTACATATTAGTTACTAAGAAGTTTCCCATTCACACTACTTACAGGGCTAAACCTGTTTTGCTCCAGTAACTGTGCCATGTACCTTTAAACTGTTATTTTGGCTGCATTCTATAATGTTTGAGTAGCCAAGCCTGTAGTCAGATTTTGCTACAGCAGTATGATTGGTGGATTAACACTAGATTTGGACCCAAGACATCTTGGTGTAGATTCCTATTTTTCCATGAGCAACAATATCTCTGTAAATATCTATACTATTAAAACGTCAGGTACTATCCTGGAAACAGGAAAATTAGTTGCCTACAAGATCGTTATTAAGAAGTATTATAAGAAGAAATAATAAAAACAATAAGCTAATGATGCAAATGACATCAGATCCACCACAGAATGAAAGCCACCGGATCACTTTTAGTTAAGTGAAGATACTTCCAAGATGCTGTGTGGCCTTCATGTGAATGGATTGTGATGATGACATGAAAGACTGCAAAGACGTGTAAAGAGGGAAAGAGAAAATGAGATGTTCAATGCATTCCTTAAGGTAAGCTCCCCTACATAAAGAGAAAAATAGTCACAAAGCTGAATCTTTCATTCACTGTAGTTATAAGTCTTACACGTTCTGCATTACCACATTTTGTCATATGTGTCAAACAGTGGGTGTATGTGAAATTAACATAAGTTTAATGGAAATGGCACTATTTTAAGAACCTGCCTGATTTCACCATCATACGCAAGCACACTCAGTGCCTCTACAGACATTACAAAGCTTCTATAAAGGTTTTCTGTGCAGGAATTGCATTAAACATGCAAAGCAACTAGAGACATGTGCTCAAGAAGCCACAACTGACTTCTCCACATACACATACCCAGTAAAGTACACCCATGTAATTGTCATATAACAATCTAGATGAATATTACAGTCCAATTCCTACACATAAGTGCTTTTAATGTAAGAGTTTTAATGGTTAGACTTCCTCCATAAGTAAACACTTAAAAGTTGAATGGAAAAAATCCATACTAAAAAAAAGCAACACCCCAATTGTCCAACAACAGAAAGCCAGGAACTATTTGTCCATTGCTTTTATTGTAGTTTGATGGGAAAGTGTTCAGTTGAATAAATAAAATGCCTCCATTAAGTGAAATGGAACATGCCAAATGCTGTTAGAAAAAAAATCAGATTGTGTATGTTTTGAGGCACTCAGAAATAAAAAGGAATGGATTTCACGTTTGGGGAACCAGGCGCTACGTGACCAGTGTAATCAAAACAGCCTTCACTGAAATTACAACTTAAACAAAGATTCAAAGAGCCTAATTAAATGGGGGGGGGGGCGTTTGAAGTGTACAGAGCTTCCTCATAAGCAGCACCCCACCCCCCTTCGGCTTTAGCCACTGAATGCCTATCCCCACCCACCATAACCCTGTCTCAACAAGGGAAGAGGCTCTCTCTTTAACTATACACACTCCGGTTTACAGACTAACTCGTTCCCTTCACACACAAAGCCGCCGCGCGCGTACACCTTCCTAAGAATAGCCCATGTCTCACCCTAACACAAGTTCCTATTCGTTATATATTGCTCGCGCAACCCCTACTAGCGTGCCCTCTGATCCTAACCCCATTCCTAAACTCCCCTACCTAAGCAGGGAACACGGCCTGAATGTGGGGGTACAAGAGAGGCCAGCCCCCTATAGAGGGGAACTCACCCTCCGTTACCTGAGCGAGGCAATAGCTTCCGAATGCGCAGGCGCCACTGATGCAGACCTCGCCCCCTCCGCCCAGCGCGCAGGCGCGTTCTATACCGTCAGAGTGGACCCGGCCCTGCCTATTGCTGGATTGTGGGTGTTAGTTCCTGGTGCTTGTTGAACGAGAATGGGAGTGGGAAGCAGAGCAAGAGAGAAGTGACGCTGCGATGGCCCCAGAGAAGATCCATTTGGCCGCACGCAGACCTGAGGGTAGAATAGGAATTATACATCCCAAAGCCCAATTTCACGAGACAATTAACCTGTGCACTCTTAATTGCACACAAGGGCGCTTACTGCCTACGATTGGACTCCCCAGAGGAGCCGGAGATCAAGGCCAAAGCAATCACTTTATGGTTTAGCAACTATTTATGTAAATTATATACCATGACGCATAGTTATTGTAAACGCAAAATAAGTTATTGCCTTGGGCATCCTTGCAGTCAGAAGTCTTCCAGGAATTCTCCACTTAGAATGGTTATTCTGGAGATTCCTACATTGTTGATAATGGGGGGGGGGGGGTGTTTGTATTTCCAGGTTTGTTTCCTGCCCCTACTGTTAAGCTATGCTGGGGATGCAGCATGTGCATCTCTGAAAAGCCTGTCTCACTTGGTCAGTTCTGTTACTGCATGAGCTTGTATGGCTCAGTCACACTATTCCAATTTGCTCTTATGCAGGTAAGAAGGAAAAGTTGCCTCCTTTGACATGGGCTATATGGCACGGGTAGGGGCTGTGTTTCAGTGGCAGGGCATCTGCTTGACATGCAGAAAGTCCCAGGCTCAGTCTCTGGCATCTCCAGCTGAGGATCAGGTGATGTGAAATATGTCTACCCTGAGACCCCGGAGAACTGCTGGGAGTCCAAGAAGAGAATACTGACTGTAACGGTGTAAGGGTCTGATTCAGTCTAAGGCAGGGATGGCCAAACTGCAGCTCAGGAGCAGTATGTGGCTCTTTCACAGTCTAATGTTAATAAAAAGCAAATTTGCATATTTTCCAATTAAAATGTGTAATATTTGTTCATGTCTTGCGGCTCTCAAACATCTGACATTTATTCTGTGTGGTTGTTACCTTAAGTAAGTTTGGCTAAGGCGTCTGTGTACATGTGATGTATCCATTGATAGACTGTATTGTCTATTAGCTAACATGCTGAGCTAACATACAGCCCAAGCCTATGGATGTTTACTTGGAAATAAGTCCTACCATGTGTAGTGGAGCTTACTCCCAAGTAAGTGTGCACAGCTATCTGAGCAGTGAAGTGATACCCATTAATTTCATCCTGACTCTCTTCCAAATAAATGTCCTTTGCATCACAGCAGCCTTACAAAGAGATCTTATGATAGATTCAGATGGATAGCCATGTTGGTCTGAAGCAGTAGAACAAAGTCTGAGTCCAGTGGGCACCTTTAAGACCAACAAAGTTTAATTCGGGGTATAAGCTTTCATGTGCGTGCACGCTTCATCAGATATCTGAAGAACTGTGCATGCACACAAAAGCTTATACCCATATCTTACGATGTTTATTAGGAAGTAAATTCCATTGATTTCGATATTTTTCCTTATTTTTTTATTTGTATCCCACCTTTCTCTCCAATGGGAACACAAAGTGGCTTGCATCAGTCTCCTCTCCTCCATTTTATCTTCACAACAGTCTTGTGAGGTAGGTGAGGCTGAGAGGGTGCAACATGCCAAAGGTCACCCAACAAACTTCCATGGGAGAGTGGGGATTTGAACCTGGGTTTACCCAGATCTTAGAATGGCATTTGAACCACTGCTCTACACTGGCTCCGTATGCATAAAAATACAGCTGTTGATGTTATCTGTTGGCTACACATCACATATAGTTTACATTGTTTATGGAATACATGCTGCAAGTTTTGATTGGGATCCCTTTCAGAGTACCAGACTGCAGGCTGGATCACACAGATAACACCTAACAGTGATAAATAGGGTTGCCAGCTCTGGGTTGGGAAATACGGGGAGATTTGGGGGGTAGAGCCTGAGGAAGGCAAGATTTGGGGAAGGGAGGGGCTTTAATCAGGTATACTACCATAGAGTCCATCTTCCAAAGCAGCCATGTTCTCCGGGTGAACTGATCCTTCATCCTTGTCACCTGGAGATCAGTTGTAATAGGGGAGATCTCCAGCCACCTCCTAGAGGTTGGCAACCTTAGAGGTAAACCCTACTGGCTTGCCATTTCTGTCTCTGTGGCTGAGCTACCTTCTTTTACAGGCTAGGGGAGAGAGTGGGAAGCCCAGCTGCGGCATAAGCGGGGCTTACTCGGGGGCGGGGGAACACATCCGTAGAAGTACGCTGCGTGCGTGTGCTTAGGAACGGATGCAAAGCCAGTCAGACTCTTCCTGCGCCGTCCCCTGGGCCGTGGCGCTGTCTTGAACAACAGCCGCAGCCCTTCCCCATCTCCCGCCGTGTCCGATGTACCCTACGTCGCCTTTATCTGCCCTACCCTCCAACGTGGGGGCGGAGCCACAAATCAGGCCGCTCTCCTCCAGCCATTCTGTGTTACGAAGAGGTAAGGGGGACGGAAGTGAAAGACCTGCAGGCAATTCGGGGTTTGACGCCGAGTTAGTGGGAGGAGAGCGATCCTGCCCGGAAATCAAAGGCCTCGTGATTGCCGTCAGGAGCGGTTGTCGCTTGGAAGCTCGAAGAGGGAGAGAGGTTTTCGCCGTCCGGACGGGGAGGGAGAGACCCCTTTTTGACGGAGAGGCAACAGACCGCAGCTCGGGACTCTGCCTTCTCGGGGCGCAGAAGGAAAAGTCGCTGCCTGTCTTCTGGCGCGGGCGGCAAGAGGAAAAAGGGAAGCTCGCTAGTTTGAGTTGGACCGGGGAGGGAGTAGGGCACGTAACAGTCGCAGCAAGCCAAGGCGTAGAAAGAGGGACCCCGGTAGACCAGAGGGACTGCGGAGCAGCGGATTTATAAGCTCGCAACGTGGGGAGGCCGAGGGCCCCGAGAAACAACCGCGCGCGGTGTATTGTACGGAGTAGAACCGCGTACAACGGCTGGAGCTGGGGAGCTCCGCCACGGGCCTGGCGAGCTTGTGAGCAGCCCGAGATTCGACCGGCTGTGGCGGGTCTCAATACCTTCTTCCCCATGTGGTTGGCAGCGACGCCGGACGCCCCGAAATGAAGCGAGCCGCACAGCTGCGGCAGGTCTCCGACTGGAGCGACTTCGTTCGCGGCCACGGCCTCCGGGAACTGCTGGACCGGCGCCGTCCGGGAGAGGCTCCCAGCCGCATTGTGGCCACCCCTGACGGGCAACATCTGCTCCTGCTGTGGAACCAACCGGCCTCCCCGGCTCGGCTCGTGGCCTTCCAGCGCCTGGGCAGCGATGCGGGCGATCTGGAGCGGAGCTGGCAGCCGCCTCAGCCACCTGTGGTCGGGATCCTTTTCCTGGGAAGCTGTGGGGGGGGCGCTTTCTGGGTGCTGACTGTCGTCTGGGAGCAAGGCAGGACTGAGCTCTGGCGCTTTGTGCCTGCGTCCGGGTGGCGCTTGCTGCAGAGTCTGGAGCTGTGCTGTGGCGCCCGGGCTCGGATTGTCTCCATTTGCAACTGGGGCAGCCGCCTAGTGTGGTGTGAGGAGAGACCCCCGCTAAATGTCCAGCAGACCCCAGAGAAGAGAGCCTTCAGGTACTGTATCTGCACGCGAGACCTTCACATTAGGGAGAACGTTGCCCAGCTCAGCCCCCTGCAGATTGTCTTGCACAACAGCCCTGCTTACCAAGTGCTGGCCGCCGCCTCTGGTGCATTTCTGGTGCCCACACCAGCCACTTTCCCTGGTGTGGCCAAGTGTGTCCTCATCTGGCGGTGGGAAAACACTGACATTGTTGTTGCTGCTGCTCCATCCAGAGGGTGCATTTCCACTAAAGTATTGCATCCTGGCAGGGAAGTGGACTTTAAGAAACTCATCTTGGGATATGTGGGAATTCTAGCATCCATGGAGATTTTGGATATTCATAGCTGTAGCCTGTCAACCAGCAAAGGGCTCCTCCTCGTCACCAGCTCAGGAGCTGTGGACTTGGTTCAACCCAACGGACTGTGGAGACATGTCTTTGACTTTGGAGGAACTGCCTTGACCCCGGGGGAGGAGGTCCAATTAAAAGTATTTGGGGACATGTTTGCTTGCTTGCTGGGAGGCATTCTTTATCTCGTGGACTTGAACAGTAGACAGCTGCTGGAAAAGAAACTTCTGAGCACAGAAATGCTTTTCTTGGATTTCCATGCAGAGGAAGAAGAGACAGCAGTGGTGCAGCTTCTTGGCCCAAATGGCATTTACCACCTTGACTTCTCTGGGACTGACAACGACAGCCAACCTGAGCCCACCTTGGTGGAGATGGTCTTTGAAGAAGCATGCAAGTATTATCAGCGGCGGAGTCTCAGCAGCTCCCCGCTCACTGTGGAGAAGCTAAAGAAGGGTGGCATGTTTCAGGCTCCCATTGCTCTTTCTTCCATTCTGTGCCATAGCCTTGCTTCAAAGGATAAGAGGACTGGGGCCCTCCCAGAGCCTTACGCCAAGCTTTTGAGCACCATGCAGTTAGAATTGCAGAGCTACCAGAACCTGGAATTCCTCAAGTCATGTCTGGTTGGGGCCTCCAAAAGTGAGGTGGACAGCTATGGTGAGGAGTTGGTAGAACAGGAGCTTAACCGGCTTCTACACCTGGATTTGAACAGGGAGAACCTGGTGTACATGAACTCCATATTCAATTCTTTCCCTGTGGCCTCCTGGAAGGCTGTTCGGAACCATCTGCAACTGCAACAGAATGGTGATGGCCTGTTGATAGCCAGAGCCACCCCAGACGTGTGGAAGAAAATTCTTGGGGGGCCTGTGCCCAGTCTGAGCAAGCAAGAGGCCTCTCTGAATGGGGTTGTCCCCCTCTTTGAACTCATCTGTTTGTCTCTTTATCAGTTCAAGCCTAAATGGCTGCCTAGGTTTGTGGAGCTATCCCAGCAGTATGTGGGTACCTCTTGGGCCTACAACAAGGAGGGTCCTGAGGGTGGGGTGCCCCTTTATAAGAGAGCCCTAGCTGTACTGGCAAGGAAGAGTGGCTGCTCTGTAGCCTACACAGAAATGGAGATTGAGCTCCTTCTGTGCAGCCAGCGGCCCAAAGCCATCCTACAGGCCTTGGACCTCCTTATTCGCCACAGGAGATGGCAGCGTGTGATGGATACAGCAGAGAAATTCTCCAGGCTAAGCCCTTTGCTGAACAAAGAAATGTTTATTGTCCTCCTGGGAGAGTTTGCCCAGCATAGGGCACTGGACCCTCACTTGGACAGGTTATGGGAGCTCTGCCCTGCAGATCTGAGTGCTTCTGACATACTGACCATTATTCAACAGCATTTACCCCAAACAGAACTGGACCACCCACCCTTTCTTCCAGGTGGGGCACCACAACTGACTGTTGGCTTGCTCAAGCCACTGTTGCACCGACTGGCACGTTGCTCAGCCGGCCAGGATGAAATCTATGCTGATGTCTTACAAGGGCCATCTTTTCCTCCTCCAACCCCACCTAGGCACCAGCAAATTGCTGCGAAGACAGCTCCTGCTCAGGAGGAGCATGTGCAAAGGACTGAGCCCCTTCACAACCACACACAAGGCACATTGTCTGAGGGGATGTAAACCTGGCACAAGATAAAAGTGTGGAGGTGGGCAAAAGGGGATCTATAGCAATTGGTCCTGGCAAAATCAGGATCTGCAGCCCGTGTATCCCACTTAGGACCTGCATCGCCAAAATGTCCTTGCCACAGTGGGTGACAAACCCCAAAGTCTTTTGAACTGCCAAGAGGTATATTTGGAAGAATGCAAAGCTGTTTTTACAGCAGGGGTTTGGGTACCTTAAATAAGAGTTAAAGTGCATGCAAAAGAATTATATTGTTGTTTATATAGCAAAGTGACATGAAGATCTACTTCAGATTATGTTCTCAGCCTTTCATTAATAATGCTGGTGCAATTTTTAATCTCCTTGTACATTTTGGTAAACGTCAGTTCATATTCATAAGTAAAATTTTTGCACATGGGCTTAGTGACATGGGGAAATTGCCTGGCTTTGACTCAGTTTAAGGCATGTTCTCAAACCCACATCACTATGCTTTAGTGTCTGCAGCTGTTGTTATCTAGTGCAGGGATTGTTTCCTAGTACTGTGCTAGTGTATTGGGGGCAAAGTTTCACTGGCCAAGATTATTTCTTCCCTGAAATTAAAGTTTGAAACTCCCTAATGAAGAGCATGTGAGTTGCCTGCTTCTCTAACTGGAGCCTTGTGCCTTGGAGGCATCACAGTCTGTGCATGAATATGCAATGTTAATGTTAGACAGGGCGGTTCCAGCTATTTCCACTGTGCAGATACATATACACACACCTTTGTCCCTAATGGTGGCCTTATCTTTTGCTTTTTTAAAAAAAAGTGGCTGTCAACAGTGGGGGCTGTGAGGTTCTCTTGCATAGTCTGTGCCTTGTGCATTTGCAGAGGAATGTAGCTAGTGCCTAATTTGATGCTTTGGGCCCCTGGTGGCTTAAGATTCAAGCAAATACTCTTCTGTTGGGAAATGAAGATGGGACTTTGTGTGTAAAATGTGAGCATGCTCAGCCCTTGATGCTTATCAGCACCTCACAGTTCCCTTGTACCACTGGGGTTGAGAAGATCCCATTACAACTGTATATAGCTAGGGAGAGTTAACCACTGTAGCCTTCCACCATGGATGTGAAGATGGAATGGGGGGGGGGGAAGAACAGTTACAAGCAGGAGTAACTTTTTACAAGATGGGGAAAAGCTACTTTTTAGTTGTTAGCATTTGTTTTAAAAGGCAAAGGCTCCCTGATGTGGTTCTAAATGGGGAAATGGTTTGACTACAAGGAAATCTCTGCGCATTTCAGTTCTGTTTGAGGAAAGGGTTGATCAGCTGCTCTGGAGCCAACACGGAGTGTACAGGACTGTCTGGGTTCTTTAGGGACACATGGTCAGGGAGCTGTTATATTCTAGGATGCTGGTCCTTTTTATCTCTTCCCAGCTTGCTGAATTTGTCGGGTAACTGTTTATTATGCAAATACTGCTTCATTAGACAAGACCCTGCGCTAATATAGAGCTTCTTAGAGTCCAAGCAAATCTAACTAGACCCACATCCCCTGCAGCATCACAGTAACTGTGCATGCCCTGTGCTGAGTGATTGCTGTTTGTTTACTGCTATGGGCCCCCACCCCTTGGTGCTGGGGGGGATGACAGGGTAATTAGTGCAATACACAGAAAGTTCTGGTCCTTGTTCCACTTCACCTCTATTGTTATTAGTTTAACAACTAGAATCAGGAGGCTGGGTTTGGTGATGGTAGCGCCATGGTATATATTTGTGTCTTATCGTGGTGAATAAGTTCTCTTTTGAGCCCTCTGTAATGAAGAGCACAAGTGCCTGCCTTGTCCATATATGCTGGCTGTGTTTCATACTATTTCCTGATGTTTACAGGTGAGCTGCACATGCTCAGAGATCCCACAGATTCACTTAGCCTAGTGTTAAGTGTTTGGTGGGCCTTTCTCAACTGAAACAAAACATCTCTTGGATGCAGGCCTATCAGTAGGAAGTCAAAGTACAATAACTCCTTTTCTTTTCCCAGCTGTTTGTGAAGTTTCATTCTCTTTCTCTCTCTGCAATGGGACTCTGGGCTTCACAAGTTTTGGGAACTCCTGATTACAATAGGGTCTCTAGCATGTGGGTATCTGTGCAAGAAACTATCCATATGATTTCTTTGGATGATACATATCCTAGCTGTGCAGAGTAATTTTGCAGAGAAATAGCTTTTATGCTAATCCTGATAAATAAGTTTGTTTTCATGCAATACTTGGTTTCTGAAGCTATTTTTGTGTTCTGTATGCAGTATTAAAAGCGGATGAACAATCATAGAGAACTCTGACCCTCGCTCGAAAGCACCTGGCACATATATTGTGGGCACTCAGTTGTGCATTTTCCCCTCTGAGCTGTTGAGCCAAACTTGGCACTATTTGTTAATGAGGAACAACTCTAGCAGAGAAATTGCTGTGTGAGTCACAAAACTTCCTACCATAAGAAAACCAATAATTGCTTGAAAGGGCTAGCATATTGTTCTGCTACCAATAAATGCACCTTTGTCTTCTGTGTTAGAGAAAGCTGTGTTGGCAGCTACCCAGTTCCTTTTCTGAAAGGGGGGAGGGGGAGAGTCACTGTCTCCCTTTTCCTCTAGTAAAGAAAAGTGTGACGTTGACCAGAAATAAGGTAGTAGAGATGATGAAGCAAGGAACCAGACAGAAATAATAGACCACTGCTACAACAGTAGGTATAAACTAGCCTGAAATGAAGTCTTGTGCCATTAGGGAAGTTGATGTTTCTTACCTCACTAGATTTATAAGCAGAGGCATTTGAGGATTAATTTAATGCTTCAGAAGTTGTTCTTCCCATGGGCTGTTTTTAGCTTATGGCAGTCTCGAAACTGTAAGAAATAGATTTGGGAGAGGGGTTTCTGCTGCTGAATTAGCACTTGCCACTGAAGGGGGGGGCATGTCAAGACCATACTTAACAGCAGAATTTGCCATCATTACAGATGTCTGCTTTCTTAGAAGGCTCTGTCATCTTTTATTCCTGTTCTCCTTACATGTTTTTGCCCTTATGTAAAAACCTGTATAAAACAGCCTGTGCCAGATTTTAGTTGCTTACAATTTTTTTTTTTTTTTAAAGGAGGCAACAATAGACTGAACATTTTTAACAGAAGTTACAGAATGGGTCACTGACTGATGAATGAGTTCACTTGCTGGATCAACTTTCACAGCCAATAAAATGGTATCTTATTTTGAGAACCTGTTGGCCTAGTGCTATAAAAAACAGTCCACATAGCACAAACCTCCCAAGTTCAAAGTTTCTTCAATCCAGACAGATGTTCAAACACAAGTAGCCCTTCTGAAATCAGAAGCCCTCAGATTAGTGCAAGCATCATTTTACCATCCTTGGAATCTACAGTTTATTAGGAATAGGATCAATGCAAATGTTATATATTAATGTACTGTCTGATCTTAGATTATAATAAAACCGTACTGTAGAAATAGGATAGATGGGTGATGCTTTTAATCATCCAGGAAAACAGATCACTTACATAACAGAATAAACCATATTTAGAGTATCACACATCATTTCCCCCCAGTATAAGCTTTTATGGAGTAGAGCCTAGTTCCTTTTGTTGCTATAGTCCACAAAAGCTTGCATTTAATGCTCCCTCTAAGCTATGAAGTACTGTGAGCAAAAATTCTACTTTGTGAACTAGTGCCATTAAAGTTGTGAGCAAGCATTTTGGCTACTGTATAAATTAGTTTGCTCTGGAGCCATCCTTCCTGAGCTAAGACAAAAATATGTGAGCCAGAGACTAGAAAACTGTGAGCCAGTTCACAGTAACTCAGCTTAGAGGGAACACTGCTTGCATTGTTGTGGGGGTATTAGCCTTTAAGATGCTGTTTGTTTTTGCATTACCCTCAAAAGCTTGACATTAAAATTATACTCTAGCCTCCATTGTTATTTTTGCTTTATCTACTGTGTATGTATTCACCAAGGAGGTGCAGTGCATCCCAGAACCTGCCATATCCTAGTCCTGACTACTAAAAGGTTTTCTCACCAAAGGCATTCCTCCTGTTGGGTCTAGTTGATGTGTCATACTTAGATCTGGGGAACCCAAGTTCAAATCCCCACTCTACCGCAGAAGCTTGGGGCCAGTTACTCTCCCCCCAGCCTAACCTACCATTCAGGGTTGTTGATGTGAAGGGGGAAAGTTGTTGTCCCTGTTGGGGTGAAAAGCAGGATTTCACCTACCATAGAATTATAGAATGTTAGAGTTGGAAGGGATCCTGCAGGTCATCTAGTCCAACTCCCTGCACTCTACAGGAGCATAGCGGAAAGATAGCCCTACAACATACTCGAAAGATGGTCATCCAGCCTCCACTTGAAAACATCCAGCGAAGGAGCATCCACTACCTCCCGAGGCAGTCTGTTCCACTGCTCAACCACTCTTACAGTTAGGAAGTTTCTCCTGAAATTTAGCTGGTAATGACTCCCTTGTAATTTCCACCCATTAGATCTAGTCTTGCAATCCGGAGCAAGAGAGAATAGATCTGCTCCATCTTCTACACGACAGCCCTTCAGATACTTGAAGACTGCAATCATGTTCCCTCTAAGCCTTCTCTTTCCCAGGCTAAACATACCCAACTCTCTCAGCCTTTCCTCATAGGACTTGGATTCCAACCCTCTCACCATCCTGGTTGCCCTCCTCTGGACACGCTCAAGCTTGTCAACATCCTTCCTAAAATGTGGTGCCCAAAACTGGACACAGTACTCCAGGTGAGGCCTGACCATAGCACCCACAATCCATAGCAGAATAGACTGGAACTACCACCTCCCGTGATCTGGACACAATGCTTCTGTTAATGCATCCTAAAATTGCATTAGCTTTCTTTGCAGTCATATCACACTGCAGGCTCATGTTTAGCTTGTGATCAACCAGAACACCTAGATCCCTTTCACATGTGCTGCTGTCAAGCCAAGTCCCTCCCATTCTATATCTGTGCCTTTGATTTTTTGTACCTAAGTGTAGGACTTTGCACTTATCTCTACTGAAATTCATTTTATTTGTCTCATTTTGAATTCTCACTCTGTCTTCTTCAGAATTAGCAATCCCACCCAGCTTCGTGTCATCTGCACATTTGATAAACATCCCCTCTATGTCTTCCTCCAGGTCATTTATAAAAACATTGAACAATATCGGGCCCAGGACCAAGCCCTGTGGCACTCACTCAAGACTTTACTCCGTGTAGACGCAGAGCCATTAATGAGCACTCGTTGGGGAGAATTTTTCAACCAACCATGAATCTATCCAATGGTTGCACCATCCAGCCCACATTTAACCAGCTTATCAAGGATATCATGAGAAACTTTGTCAAATGCTTTACTGAAATCTAGATACACTATGTCCACAGCATTGCTAGAGTCAACCATTTTAGTAACTCTGTCAAAAAAGGAGATAAGGTTGGTCTGGCATGACTTATTCTTGATAAACCCATGCAGGCTACTACCAATTAACTCATTCCGCTCAAGGTGCTCACAGACAGAGCGTTTAATAATCTGCTCTAGAATTTTTCCAGGTATTGATGTCAAACTGACGGGCCTGTAATTTCCTGGGTCTGTCCTTTTTCCCTCCTTGAAGATTGGGACAACATTCGCTCTTCTCCAGTCTTCCGGCACAACATATTTCAGGCCACTCTGATGCCCTTCCTCTACTACTGAATGTTGTTATTGGTGTTGCTATTTAGTTTCCTCACTAATGAATCCAGACACCCTGTCACTTTTCGCTCCTATTCTTAAGCAGAAGATTTTGGCTTGGATCCTATGGAGGGTTTTCACAGAAGAAAGGGGTTGGGGGGGTTGGCCAACACACCCCTGTCATAGACCTGATTCTCACCCACCCACCCACAAGTTCCATAGAAACAGCATGTCAGGGTATTCTGAACTGCAGCAGGGGGAGGGAGACCCAAGGGAGGAATACACTGATGCATTTTCTAGAACAGCAACAGGCTGCCTTAGGAAATCTCTTCCTGATACAGAGAGCAGTAGAAACATGCAGTAATGTGGAAGTTCTAAGTAACACCAGCACAAAAGGATCCAGCTCTGGCCCAGCTTCCAAGGCAGAGGTTGGAAGAAAGTAAGACCAGCAAGGCACTTAATAAGAATGTAACAGTGTATAATTACAGTCACTTAAAATAAATTAGTTATGTATCTCTGAAATGTTACCAGACCTACAGCATACACTATCTTTGTAAATTTGACAGCACCAGGGGAATATAGTATTCTACTCAATAGAAATAAATCATTGAGGGCAGTAGACAGGGTTGCTCAATGGAATGTTTCCTTTAATGATTGAGATCGAGAGACCTTCAGCCCAGAATTAATCATCCTAATTGTCACACAAATCCAGCTGCATTGACACTGAAAATTGTCCCTCAACCTACTGCCGTTGACTCAGAGGTCCATGTCAGCATTTCTGGTTGGGGTGACTGTAGCAGGAGTGCCTTGAGTCCCCTAAAGCTGTAGTCACCTGTAGACATATAAGCACTGCAGGCACTGAATCAAAGGATGGGCAAGACCTCTTCTTTCCCCAGCAAAGCTGCAGTCCAAGGAACCAGTCCCAAGAGCCCTGCAGTAGCAACAAAGTGCAAGGGCTGCAACCACAGTATTTACAATATGGCAAATATGAGTAGAGTACACAAGAGTATATACTAGGAACACAGCTAGGCTGGATGCTTGCGTAACAGTAGCTGGGGTTGTGTGTTTGCCGATGATATCGTCCTTTGCAGAAAATCTGGTGTCCATGAACTGCAGTTTTGACCAAGAAAAAAAATGCTGCTGGATGCCGACCGACATGGTCCACATTGGGAAGAGAGGCCCAGTGGCAGTGCAGAATTCATTGTCATCCTCAGTGCCACTCAGAGGTAGAAAAGTGGGAAAGGGGCCACTACTTCCTTACTTCTGGCCGGGGCATTTTGAATGCTTTTGGCGGCCTCGATCTGCAAAGATTAGGAAAGGAAAGAGGGGAAACGAGAAAATAATTTTTTTCTAGGCTTGCTAGATTGTATCTTCGTCCTTCAGCCCCCACCACACTATCAGAGAAGGACCAAGCTTCTAATGACAGAAACAGCAGTCTCAGATAAGTAAAAGGCCTTTTGACCTTCAAAAACTACTGAAATTAAACCACACATGATGCAGGAAGTCCGTGATCAGGATCTCTCTCCTTTTAAACTTGAAATCCACCAGTAGGGACCACATGGGTGGGTCAAGGACGAATTGCATCTGTGCCATGTTCATAGTCTAAATTCCCACCCCCAACTGATTACTGCACAAAGAGCTGGGGGAGGGACACAACAGTTTAGATCAGGAGAACTGGGGGGGGGGGGGGGGATACTCCTTCCTATGTTTTCCCTCCTACATCGTTTTGAATTTTAAAATAACCCTGTGGGAGATCTGCACAGAATTCCTGCGTTTGAGCTAGTTCGGCCTGTAGAATCATACAGTGGGAGTGGAGATGAATGGATGACTGCATTCCCAAGATGGCTCCCCTGTTTCTTCAACATCCCTCTGGTTCTGGTCACGCTTCCCATTACCCCAATCATATGCCTCTTTCCCCTTGTGCCTGAATTCTGGTGATGACATGAAGGAGGTATGGACAGGTACTTACAATTCAATGGTTTCCCCATTGTCCCTGGTAACAGAAAGGGAAAATGTCAGTTGACTTAAGGCCACCAAGGAAAGCCCAGGTCGGCAATGACCTGCAGGCCACTCTCTCTGCTAATGCTGCCCCATCCTCAGAACATCTCCATGCAAAGTGGGCAGGAGCCACTAACCAATGTGAGTGGATAGCCCCTGCAAGGGGGATGACAGCTGCTACCATCATAACCTGGCAGCTCCCATCCCACACAAGGCAGACAGGTGTAAAGTGGGCAGACGTTGCAAGCCACTGGAGGGTGGTTGTGAGCCAGGCAAGCCCTAACAATCCTCCGTCCCTTCTCCCCCCCCCCCCCCCCTTTTGGGATTGGGTAGTAGGACCAGGGATGTGGCTGGGCCCAGGCCATTTTCCTCCTCCTCACACCCATGGGGTGGGGGATTTTTAGGGCAATTCTTGCCTTTCAGCCCACCCCCATCTGCCAGTCCCACATGATGGTTCTCTCAAAGGCTAACCATGAAGGCAGGAATTACAGAGAAAAGCAGCACCATATGGTATTACAGGACTCAGTACCTCCAATTCTGGGTACCTGTGAGGATCCACAAACACCCATATCTGTATCATCAAACCAGTAGCCCCTGCACTAAGGTACAGCCTAGAATGGCTCCTTATTATAGTAAAACTTGGCTCATGCATGCCCAGACATCACAACTAGGTATAGACTAAGATGACGATCAGCCACTCCGGTACTGCCTTACTTAATAGCAGCAATCCTGCTTCCAGCCAAGAGCATCTTGAACTTGCCGTGGTTTCACTGCATGCTTTGGGTTATGCAGAACTGCTTCATAGGATTCAGATGATGTCAGCAGAATGGAAAGAAAATCAACTGGCCCAGACTTTGCATGGATCTACCAAGGGGGAAGGCAGTGCCCCAACGTAGGTACATAGGAGATCCAAACCTCCCCCTGACCCTAAGGAAACCAGTCACCACCTCCTCTGTGAGGCTCTGGAGCCCTCACTGTTATCTGTTTAGTAAGCCACACGCTATTACCAAAGTGGAGCTTTACTATAGTAGCATCCCCACATCCTGGAGCCATGCCTACAGGAAAAACCACCACACTGGGTGAGGGGTGTTATACCCACAGACCTGAAGATGTGTCTTGGCTGTAACCAAGTGTTACAAATAGGAGAGGAAGGCTGCCATTGATTGTACCAATAGATACAGTTTTGACAGAAAGAGGAAAAAGTATCTCTCATGTCATGGCAGCAGGCAAAATGGCCAACGAGAGCATAAGTCATCCTTACTCGTAAACATCATCCATGCGCATCCTGCGGTAAAACTTGGCAAGCCGCACTGCCAAGATGACACTCGGCAGCAGGAATATGGTGCACCAGCCCAAACTGAACCAGAAAGCATTCTGGAAGTGGAAGAGAAGAAGAAGGCTGTCAGTGCTAATGGAAAGTATTTCCCACACACACACCTCAGCCTAGGTTCTACCATTACTGTAAAGTCAGACATCCCCCTAAAAGAAGCATCAGAACTGAGAAACATATTCTTAACCTACCAGCCACCTTCCCATATGTTCTCTCCTGAGTCTGCAGAAGAGCTGCCTCATACACAACCAGTGCCCAGCAAATCCAAGAAAAATAGCTCTTTTGTATACAGATGTCTCCCGATCCGCTGCCCACAGTCAAGCCTTCCCCCAGACACAGATGAGACTTTCACAGCTAGAATGTATGTGGACCTCCCACATGCAAGTCAACTTATTTCCACACCTCAAACCATAGCTACTATCTGTCTACCCTCTTATTTCCATGCTGCTCTTCCTTATCCATGTCGACTCCCAGCATTTATCTATCCCCTCCCCCTCTATATCTTTGTTTCACTAGATGATGTGGTCAGCCCTCATCTTATTTCCCTTACCCAAGCATCAACGATGTAGCTGCAGACAATGGTATTTGCGGCATCGAATGTCCCGGCTACGGGGCCACAGCGCGCCACTTCTCCTGTTATCTGTCAGCAAGTAAGACAAACATTATAACCAGCAGGGGAGAGAATCTGGCCCCACGTGCCACTCCTTGCTTAGTGTTGCCAACCCAACCCAACAGCCATTCCCCAAATATGGTAGGAGTTTTCCCAGCATTGCAAACCAGTACGTCTTCCTTGCATCTGCAGCCTGGAAGGAGAGAAACAACTAGGCATGCAGCCAAAGGAGAACCAAAGGATGCAAGCAGGCACAAAGATTTTGTAAGGGCAAGAAACATCTTATAGCTGTTTGCTTTGAACAATCTTGTGGATGAGTGATGTACTCAGCCTGGACATGAGGTCAGATATAGTCGCATTGTATGTGAGCAAGTACAGGCAGGCTCCCATTTTGCCATGACCAAAGGCTGAGCCTGGACTCCAGCAGCTACTGAGGTTACTTACAGTGCCTTTGACCCAGTCCAGATACACCTCAAAATAATCCAGCACATCATGTACAAAATTCAAGGTCGCCTAGTTAAAAGCAGAAAGGAGAAGAGAGTTGAGAATACAGGACAATCCTTTCTGAATCCAAAAAGGGATTCGGTTCTGGAGAATATGGCTATCTAAACCCCTTTTATGGATCCAGGAAAAGGAAAAAAATATGCTGGGGTGCTGATTCATACATAATCAGCCAGAGTTCACATGTACCATCATCGAGACACAAACCCCCAAATTTTGGTTTCCACCTGTCCTCCTTCTCATTGTATTTTGGTATTCCCACTTCCAGAACTGGTTCACCATCAGCTCTGGCAGCTAGATCCATGCAGGAGACATGGGATAGGCCTCAGCATTACACAATGTGGAAGGAAATAAAACCAAGCCTAAGACACCCATCATCCTGTACCCTGCATCAATGACTAGGTTAATTATCAAAAAAGGACTTACATTCTTGACAACTTCCGTTGTTCCGTTAAATGTTTTGAAATCGTCTGCTTGTGTCACTGTGGAATTCACCAGCTCCTGGTAGGACACAGAACTGTCAGCTGGGTTCACTGGCAGAGCCAAGCACAGATGAGATCTCAGGGGCTCTTTTTGCCTCACTTTCTATGCCAATCAGGGCAGCCCACTCAGAACAAACCCTTTCAATGGTTATATCATATATCCCAAAAGGCATAAAGGAGGATAATACATTACCATGAGGTCCTGACAGGCCCTCTGAGATGCAATAAGAATACTAGGCACTAGAGGACCATGGAGACTGTAGCTTCTTATCTAGCACAATACAATCTTCCCTGGCCCCAAAATGTACAAACACAGCATTGACCCATCATCAGAGCCAACCATTAACATTTTCTTTCTCCATCTAAGGAATGCCAGTCATTTCCAGGGGAAAATCTCTGCATTCCCTAACTGGCATGTAATACCTTGAATTTACATATTCATATTTATACTATGGGGCTTGGACAGTTTGCCTGCTAGGGTGACTTCCCCCTTTGATATCTATAGCAAGAAGTCCTTTATAGAAACCTTTACGAACTTGGGTTTGAAAGTTCTACAAGATTTTGCCCCCACCCTTCATTCAACCTGAACATGAACTACTTACCTGAATCTGAGACAGAGATGTGTTTAACTGCCAGATGCTGCTGTTCAGGTTTTGCTAAGAGCAAAGAATATTCATTAGAGATTATTATTCCAACAGAATTTCCATGCATGCAGGAGATCTATGAGGCCAAGAGTTAAATCCGTCCAGAGGACAGCACCAAGTTGAAGAGGATGAGAGGAGTATCACTCACAATTTCAGAAGAAAAACTCGATTTGGCCCACGACTGGATCTCTCTTAAACTATTGGCCTGGTTTCGCAGTTGTTCCCTAGTATCGCCTTCCTGAAAATGATACCATCATAATGAAGAGGTGTGGCTATACTCTCTACATTCTCTCTCTCTCTCTCTCTCTCTCTCTCTCTCTCTCTCTCTCTCACACACACACACACACACACACACACACACAGAGTCTCTCTCCAAGTCAGGTATATAGCTGAGTTCAGTGGATTCCCACATCCTATACCTTCAAACCTGTATAATCTGTGGACAGTCATCCTTTATTCATAACATGCCCTGATCTAGATGCCCTGTACTTTTGTTTAGTAGCCCTTTACCATCCATATTTTCCTGCTGTGCCTCCATTATCCATGATGGACCTCACTGCAAATCCTGTTTGATGGCTACATTCCCAAGAGGCAGTTTAGGTTGCGACTCCCTCCTGTTTTCAGAGGGGAAGCCTGGGGTAACACAAGGGCCAGTCAAAAATGAGAACTGGTGATTCATAGTACCTAAGAGAATGAGCCGTTATCTGTGAGTTCACTTGAGTCAAGTCACTCCTTCAGCCTACAATTTGGGGATAATACCAGTGTACTGTTATAAGCATTACTGTGAAGCACTTTGAACACTTGAAACACAATATATATATGCGGAATAGTATTCTGTGCAAACTCTTTGAAGATTGAAAGTCACACCCTGAGCAGTGTTCCCTCTAAGCTGAGTTAGTGTGAACTAGCTCACAGTTTTTAGCCTCCGGCTCACACATTTTTGTCTGAGCTCAGGAAGGATGGCTCCAGAGCAGACTAATTTACGTAGTAGCCAAATCCCTCGCTCACAACTTAAATGTCAGCAGCTCACAAAGCAGATTTTTTGCTCACAAGACTCCACAGCTTAGAGGGAGCATTGACCCTGAGGGGATCACCAAAGTCACACATGGGCTCAATTTGAGAAGGAGAGTTACAGGGAGAGGAGAATGGTTACATTTTGTCCAGACAACACTCACTGTCTTATTTGCCAGATTGTCTAGCCGATCAGCGAATGCAGACAGGTTCTGTGTCAAGTTCTGGTTGATGTGCACAGGAAAGAAACAGAGAGAGCACACAATGGTCAGCTTTGTAAGGCAGCAACAGACCCTGAGGTGGGTTTGGTTAGTGACAAACTTATAACAACTCTTCCTTTCCTCCCCAACCCTTTTCTTATCCCCATCTCACTTGTGGCAGAGCACTGGTGAAGTTCAGATTCAGTGACCCATTCTTTTTGCCCAGGTTTCTCAAGGAATCCATCTGGTTGTTTGTCAGAAACTCCGTAGAATTCACTCTGATGTCTAATTTATTCAAAGTGGAGTCAATATCTTGTGTGTACTGCAGCGACAATGTTAAAAAAAAACACAAGGTGAGCAGGAACACCGGGCACAACTGTCTCGCCCTCTGGTCTAGGAAGGGGCTGCAGATGTGCCCCAGACCAGAGGCCCCAAAGTTGAGATTTGAGGGGCACCAGGCTGGCTGGTGGCAAGCTTTTTGCACCTGCAGGCCCTCTTCACTGACCTTGCTGATGTTGAGGATGTCATCTAGAGAGACCATCTTGCCCAACTGCAGTGTGTTCCACAAGGAGTCATCGTTTTTGCAGTCCCTGTAAGTAGGAAAAAATAGCTAGCAGTTCAGAATACATCAGACTATGTCAAATACCAGTTGGGCAACAGCATCATCATGCAAAAGAGCTCCCCACTCACAGAATGTGACTTAGCCCAAGGGAGCACAGGGCAGCATCAGTCATCATATGATGGTTGGTGACTTACCTCTCTGGGAGGGTTAGGAAAATGGTTCTTGGGTAGGATCTCTGGGAAACAGCATGGCTAAGAGCACAGTGACTGTGCTGGAGGGTGCTGGGGAGAAGGGCATGGTTCCTGTTGGTACTCTAGGAAGGGCTTGGCTGAGAAGACTGCAGGCTAAGGCTTTCCATCCCTGCACTGATGGCTGTGGCAAGGCTGGGCAAGGCACCCTGGCATTTACTCCATCCAGCCTGAAGTTCTCACTCCACCTTCAAAGGTCTGATTCCCACTGAAGATGCTGAGGATCAATCACAGCTGACAGGATGTAAGAGAAGGTCAAGGGGAAACCATCCAAGCTTCCTGGCACTCACTCGTAGAGGCTGGTCAGAGTCGCATTGGAATCCTTTAGTCCCAAGGACCTCAACAGGTTGGATTCTGTGAAGAGCCCTGGTGTCTCTAGGAACTGGAAGGAGAGGAAGCAGCAATTATGGGATTCCTTATCTACCTACTCAACTACATGCAGAGTGTTTCCCCCTAGTTGTGATACCCTCCTCTCAAGACTGTGAAATGTCTGGCTGCCTTGAGCAACCTTCATGCCAAAATGACATGAAGGACAAAGGTGGGGATGGGGAGATGGGGTCCAGAACTAGAACCTGGAGTTGTAATGTAACCTTTGGTCTGGGATTTAGAACTACCACAGCTAGTTCCTTTGACATCAACTAACTTTTTCTGTGACCCACACACCTTCTTACATCTCTTCTTTCTAATGGGATGCAATGGGATCCATGCATAGTAATGGTAGTTTACAGGACTTACCTGGAGGAGCTGTCCAGTGGCCCAGGGACGGCACACCAATGTGTATATATTGCCCCCTACTAAAAAGGTCAGCAGGACCAGCAGCATCAGAAGCCATGCAAAAATAAAGCTGAACCCAACACTCCTGTCAGGGAAAGTTAGAAATTATCAGATGCCTCAGATTCCATTGTAGACATGAAGAACAGACTTCAAAGCCTTCCTGTCTACCCAGTGCCCAACCCAACAGCCATGCTGGCAATTCAGCCACACACAATCCACCACAGATGAGAACATGATGTAGCTGACAGTCCATTTGGACAACCTGGTGCAGGGTGTAGTGGCTAAAGGAAGTGCATAGAAAATATGGAAAACCAGCAAGGTACAGAGGTTAAAGTGATGTCACTAGGATCTAGGGGACCCAAGTTTGAATCCCTACTCTGCCACGGAAGATTGCTGGGTGACCTTGAGCCAGTCATACACTTTCAACATAACCTGCCACACAGAGTTGTTGTGATGGTAACATGTAGAAGAGAAGAATGATGTAAGCCATTTTGGATCCCCATTGTGGAAAAGGGGAAATATAAATGAAGTAAATAAAGTAACAAAAATGAGGAACACACATACTTGATGGGGGATACACTTCTGAGTAGCATTGTGTGTGAACAAGATCTTGGGGTAAGGGTGGACTGAAAATTAAATATGAGCAGCCAGTGTGATGCAGTGACAAAAAAGGCTAATGTAATCTTGGGGTGTAAGAACAGAGACATAACATCCAAATCACAAGATGTTATAGTCCTGCTGTACACTGCATTAGTCAGGCCACACCTGGACTACTGTGTGCAGTTCTGGAGGCCTTACTTCAAAAAGGATGTGGACAGAATGGAGCATGCGCAGAGAAGAGCAACAAGGATGTTCAGGGGCCTGGAGACCAAGCCCTATGAGGAAAGGCTGAGGGACTTAGGAATGTTTAGTCTGGAGAAGAGGAGGTTGAGGGGGAATATGATTGCTCTCTTTAAGTATCTGAAGGGCTGTCACTTAGAGGAGGACGGGGAATGTTCCTGTTGGTAGCAGAGGACAGGACTCACAATACTAGGTTTAAATTAAGAGCGGGAAGGTACCAGCTGGATATTAGGAAAACCTTTTTTACAGTAAGAGTTGTGCAACAGTAGAACCAGCTGCCTAGGGAGGTGGTGACCTCCCCCTCACTGGCAGCGGCTGGACAAACACTTGTCAGGGATACTGTAGGCTGATCCTGCATTGAGCAGGGGGTTGGACTAGATGGGCTGTATGGCCCCTTCCAACTCTGTGATTCTATGATTCTAAGTAAATAAATAAGAAAATATCAGAGGGCAACGATCAGTAGCTGCACCTTGTCTGTATAATCCCTTTCACCCCAAGGCTCATCTGATGCCTACGTTATTTTCTTTTAGGTGGCGACACAAAATGTTTTTATATACATGCACGCTTTAAATTAAAGGGTTGATCTTTTAAAATAATTTTATAACGTTCTTTTAGTCTGAAGATTGCTAAATTCATTTTAAGCTGTTCAATGATTTGGGTCTGTTTTATTCTCTGGCTTGGGTTTTTACTTATAGCTTTTAATGTTTGCATTCTATTATGTTATTTCGTAAGCTGCCTCAGGCGGGTTCCCCAGGAGAGGTGGCATAAAAATAAAAAATTCCCTAAATAAATAAAATAAAAACATTTTGAAGTTTAGCATTGAGGCATTCCACCAGGTATGCTCCAGAGCATTTTGGACTATCTTATTGGATGTCCCACAAGGAGTTCAGAACAAGGTCCTCCCCTTATCATCACAAAACCCTGTGAGGTAGGCCACACAGCAGAGACTTGAACTTTTGTCTTCCTGGTCCCAGTCCCATTTGCAAACCACAGAATCTTTGCCACCTAGAAACTGGTACACACCTCAGGATTGCTGCACTTGCAAAGCTTAGATTGCATACCAGAGAGCTCTCCTCAAGCACTTGGACAATAAAGCAACCAATACCACCTATAAAGATCAGTTCCTCTTCCCACTCCATTCTGTCACTATTTGGAAATGTCTGTCTCTTTGGACATCATCACATAGATACCCAAGGGGCCTGTTTGATGATTCCTCCCCCAAGATGAGAGAGATAATGTGCAAAATGTCTTACGCCATTAGGAAGTCTCCTCCAGAGTTGGAGAGGCAGCCCCGTTTGGTGGGTGGTGCCCGCGTGTCTAGCCCAAAAGCACCACACAGCAGGCCCAATGCATTGAGTACAATTATCAGGAGCACCAGACAGCAGAGGCAGATGCCAACAATCCTCCTGGAGTGGGAAAAAAGAAAATTACCAGTATCAAGAGTTCAGCAAGGATTTAAACAGAGAGAAATAACTTACAGTGTATTCCTGTGCTCCAACCTATTGAAATTGATGAGCTTTAGACTACAGTAACTGTGCGCAGGATTGAACTACAAGGCTTTATTAAAATGCATTAACTCATGTAATGGGCCAAACTTCTGCTAAGAACCAGCAGGACTATGCTGGGCCAGCAATCTGCAAAATCATGTCACTCATATACCTTCAAAACACTGTACCACCTGCCATCTTTGACGGATTCTATCAGGATGTGAGCTGGCCCTGGAAAGATGACCAGATGACCTGAAGAACTGGCTATGAAAGGACGACAGTACCATCCGGAACTTATGCTGATGGGTTATGCTGGTTTGTGGAATCCCATCTTGGATTGATAAGAGCTTATTATTTAGAGCACCGGCACTTTGTTTGTAATTGACTGTTTTATTCTGTTTTTAGTAGTTGTATCATGGCATATGCCTCTTCTTAGCTGCCCTGAGCCCGTTTGGGAAGGGTGGGATATAAATTTAATAAATAAATAAATAAATATATTGGACATGAGAAAATCCACTCAGAAAGTGTGGGTTTATGCAAGGCCAGGTATAGTTAATGGGAAAAGATAAATACTATCCATATGAGTTAACCAGTTTTTAAATTTTTGCCATTAGAAGTGGCATGCCATCCAACAATACAGCTGGGAAATGTCAACATACCTTGGACTGATAACAGTATTTCAGAAAACTGCATGTTAGAAGCCTCCTAAAACGATGACCAGAGAGGCGTCAGCTCATCTCATGGGCTACAACTCCCATCTCTTTCCAATAGTAGCATCTTGAGAACATTATAATTGCATAGCAGAGTCAGAAATGACATAATTTCACCCTACCAAAATGTGATGAAGTTGCTGCTGTCAGTTTAACTGGAAGTGTTTGTGGAAATCCAGCCTTTTGTAAGCATTACTGGATTTTGTGCTCTTTGTTTCTATGTGTTTTATAATGTAAACCACCAAGATCTAAGTGTAAGGGACTTAGCATGGCTACTAAAAGGGTAGCTTGCCCTACACTAGTTGCACAGACTGGAGAAGCAAGGAACTGTTTGAGGTGCCAGCTTAGGATTGTTAGTTGTTGTTGTTTTGTTTATTTGTGTGTATTGTTGGGAAGGCAAACCTTTGCACTGCTGAGGGTTCCAGGTTTAGAAAATGTTTGTGTTTCTTGGCACATAAAAGATAGAAAGTATAAAACATCAAGTGGCATGAACCCTTTCTGGCCATCCTAGGATCCTAAGACAAACCAAATGTTGTCTGCCCTAGCTCCAGGGGCTCTTCTATAATATGTTGAACAACTCCTACCTATAGCCATCATAGATTTTGATGTCTGGCTCATAGGTGTCAGCCTTCTTGGTGATGTCACTCAGAAGCTCAGAGACATTCCCCAGTGTGTCCAGTATGGGGAGACTGCTGCGAAATGTCGCAATCTTCTCCTTGATGCCATCCAGTTGAGCCTGTCCTTCTGCAAGAAACAGACCAGAAATGGATTAATCTCTACATGTTGTGAGCTACAGCCAAGAGGGACTGGTGCAGGGGAACTGTCATCTATTTACTCTGGAAGCATGTAGGGCATGTGCTTGATTGTCAAACAAGGACTTGGGTCTGAATGTTACCCCAAGAAGCATAAATTAATAAAGTGCACAGAGTCAGGACAATGCCCATTTTGGTGTTGCTGCATTGCTGTTCTTCCTTGAACTTCCAGTCAGATGGATCAGAAACAGACAAGCAGTTCAACAAGGGTGTAGCTCAGGACGATGGGGATGTCTAGCCAAAGAATAAGCACTGGGCTATGATGACTAATTATGCAGAAAGACAAGTAAGAGTGGGCACCTTACAGAAGTAGCAAAAGAACAAGAAAGCCACTGTGCAGTGGGACTAATAGTTGTTTAATTGAGTTATACTGCTCCTACACCTTTCAGCTACTCTTCTACAGGGGGGTCTGTATCATTGTGGGAACTGCTTGATACAATTATACAGATCCCCCTGAAGGAGGACAGGCAAAACACGTGAGGGCAGTATGACTTAATTTAAAAAATTATTTTTCCCACAGCATCACTTTTTTTTTTGTTCTTTTGGTGTGGCCCTCTTCTCATGTATTACACGCTACAGAAGTGTCCACTATTAATGCTAGAATCCAAACCAACATTTGCAGTGCTTTACTTAGGAGAAAAAAATCGAGCAATGTTTTTAGCAGCAATAGAGGACGAATAATTAAATGCATGAGGCCATTCTGAGAAGCTCAGTGTGAATGTTATATCCCCCTACTTACATAAGTGCCCTTTTACCCATTCTGACTTGCTTCTTAGTAACAGAATATTCACAAATGAAGTTATAATGAAAATGGGAAATATCTGTTAAGCATGGCTTGGCTGAACTGGGAATGAAAGAGCTAGAGCAAAGTGATGGCCATACTGAATTATCAAATATAACATGTAAAGAAACCAAGCAGACTGCAGTACCAACAGTCAGTAAAACTGTCCGTTGTAATTGGCTTAAACCATGTTTATGGGAGTCACTGGGCTGGCACCCACGGAAGAAAGATTGGAGTGTGCAAGGGGAGGGCATTCTTGCTGATTCCTCCCTCCATGCCTGCCTCCAGTTCCCCCCATATGTTACATTTTGGACTGTCAGGGGAGGGGGAGGAAATCTTGTTGACAAGATCCAACCCACTATGCTATTTTCCAGGGACAGACTAAAATGATGATGATGATGATGATGTTTACAGACCACCCTCCCCCAAAGGGCTCAGGGTGGTATAGGTAAAGGTAAAGGTTCCCTTGCTCGAAAGCCACTCGAATCCGACTCTAGGGTTGCAGTGCTCATCTCTGTTTCAAAGCCGAAGAGCCAGCGCTGTCCAAAGACGTTTCCGTGGTCATGTGGCCGGCATGACTAAACGCCAAGGCGCACGGAACGCTGTTACCTTCCCACTGAAGTGGTACCTATTTATCTACTTGAAATTTCTTGCTTTCGAACTGCTAGGCTGGAAGGAGCTGGAACTAGAGATGGGAGCTCACTCCATCATGCGGACCACCCGGGTCTCAAACTGCTGAACTACTGACCTTCCATAGCCTGCAGCTCAGCGTCTTAACCACTTGAGCCACCGCAGCTCCTCAGGGTGGTATACATCATAATAAAACATACAGTAGTTAAAATACAATAAATAAAGGATACGAAGCAAATGGGGAGGCTGCTGCGGAATGTCACAGCCCTTGAACAGTCCCTATAAAGAGCTGCTAAAGGTGCCAGCAGTAGCTGCAGTAATGTCAGATTGGCTAAGCTGTCAGGGCAGATGGGGAACAGGTGTGGGAGGTTAGGGAAGGCTGTCGGGCATGCTCATGATTAGGCCTGGTCCATATAAGGGGCCCAAGAGCAAGCCAGGGATGAGGTTCCAGATCTCCTCCAGACTGTGGAAGAGAGAACTCGGAAGAGAGGATGAGAAACAAGATGCAGTTAATCTCCTCACCTCTATTTCTGAGGGCTTTGCTGGCCCTGGAGTCTTGGCTGGACCCATAAGAGGCAGACTGGGAGGATCAAACAGTGGTGGACCCTCTGGATCCCCACAGCCATATATTATGTATGATCACCCCAATAAAACTGCTAGCTCAAGCCCTAGGTGCATGTCTTACAATTGGAGCGCCACTGCTGAGCAACCGAGAATTTTTTTAAAAAACAACACAACAGTATAGGACTTGGGTTAATTATTTTGCCATAGACACATATAACATTTGATATTAAAGGCCTGTGATCTCCTGACCTGGTTGTCCTTTATCTAACCTAAAGCCAGAAACTTCTCGTTTTGCCTGTCCGAAAGGGCATTCAGGATGCTGGTGAGCAGAAAACATTGTTTGGGAAATATATTTATTATTTGTTATGTGACTGTTCTGTGGATAAACTGTTCACAAGAAAGAGTTGTGAAATCATACATCATCTTATATTTTCCATAGAACAGGAAGGAAATGAAGAGAATGCATAAGACAAACCAGTAATTAAGCAAACTGAGCTGACTAGCTACATGGCTTGAGGTACATCATATCCATCTAAAGATCATGATTGGCCAGCATGACCCATCTGGGCTGACCCCTTGTGTATGTACACTTGGCTCGGCTTTCTCAAGAAACCGGAAGCTACTTCTATCTATAGAATAGCATCTGTGCCCATTTTGTTCTCCTTCATGAGCTACTAACATTGTAGACCTTCAGCTCAGAGCAATGGTGTCCAGTTCCCCTCACTGGTGAAATCTGCAACCCTCTAGTTGCCCAACTAGATCAGGCTCCTCTAAGGGATCTGTGAGCAGATGTTCCCAGTGTTTTATAAACGGCAACTGCACATGGCCCCCTGATTCAGATTGGGGCTGCAGTGCAGAAGGAGAGGGGGGGATATAATAATTTCTCCTCAGATCCGTTTATCTTTTACAGCAAATACACACACTGGGGCCCGTAGCTATGGCAGGGCATCACGGGGCCACGCCCCACAAGTCCTCGCCAGCTCCACCCTCCACACATGTCTGTTGGATTAGAAGTACTCGTTGCGCAGGGGGTCAAGGTAGTGCATGTGGCGGCTTGGGTCGCTCAGCAGTGTGTCCAGAAAGACACCCAAGGTGCTGCTTCCCCTTCCCTCCTGCTCGTGCCAGGGCCATGCGTGTCCTTCAGGGCGCCCAGTGCTTCTCCTCTTCCTCCTGTTGTTTCTCCCTCCACTTCCAGCTCACTGCCTGCCTGGACTGGAGATGCCTCACTCTGCTGCTCGCTCCCCTGCACCACCCTCTCCTCCACCCCTTCCTCCTCCTCAGGTGTGTCGGACTCCCCCTGCCCACTTGCCAGCCATTCTGGAGCCTCTGCCAGCTTCGGCAACAGGTGTGGTGCTCACTTGGCCTTGCCAGCCGCTGATCCAAGGGACGCTGTTGCCACCTCGAGGGGCAAAACCAACATGGGCTGAGCAGCCTCTCTCTTTGCAGCCCCCACATCCCAGTGCCATCCTTGTCCTCCTCCATGCCCAGTTCGAGGCTGGCACAGGGAGTATGAAAGTTCTGCCTCCTCCTCTGCTGCTGTGACACTGACAAGGCTCTGGCTGCTTCCTGCTTCCCTTGCTAATCTAGAGTCCCCCGCTCCCATCTCCCTTGCCCCAGCGCCCCAGCCCCTGCTCCACCACCCAAAATTTCCCAGCTACGGGCCTGCACACACCCCGTACAGTTTTTTTGTTAACTTCCAGAGCCAATAAGAGCATGGAGGGGGAGATCCATTTCAAAATGCAAAACCATTGGGGGTGAAAAGGTTAAATCCTCTTTTTCTCATGCACGGCAGTCCCGATCTGAATCACATGCTGATTCTGTGAACTTAGGCAGATCATGAGAGGGAGGGGCAGGAAGGGTTGCATCAGTGCTTAGTTCTTGTGGCCCTTTCTTACATGCCTAGGGAAATGCTGATCACCACTTTGGGGTCAAGAAGCAATTATCTCCAGGCCCCTGGAGAGTTGTTGTTGTTTTTTGCCATCTTCTGGGCATGGAGCAGGGGTCACTGGGGCTGTGGGAGGAGATAGTTGTGAATTTCCTGCATTGTGCAGGGGGTTAGACTAGAAGACACTGGAGGTTCCTTACAACTCTATGAATCAATGAGATCTTTAGCTTGTCTTGGGGGCTGTTACAGAAGCAACCCTCTCCCATTCCCCAAAGAAACAGTATTTCAACCTATAATTGAAATGTGGACCAGAATGCGTGTGCAGAGCCACTTACCAGATGCCACATTCTTTGCTTGCTCAGAAACCTTTTCTGGTATCTTATTCAGTACATTGATTGCCTGCCACCACAGGGAACCCAGGATACAGACAGACAGAAAGAAAAACAAGGCACAGATCTCAGAATCACATGTGCTATAACATGGTATCCAGAGAAAACATACCCATCAACACAAACTCAGCTATTTTCCAAAAAGCAAGCAATCTAACAATACCTCTGGAGGGCACGAGAACCATTATTAAGTTAAGAGGCCAGTGGATTCTTCATGGGCTAAGGTTGATCAATGTGCTTATGCCCAACCTGTGGCTTACCACATGGTGCCCACGACTTTTTTTTCTGCTGTACAAACCCTCCCAAGTGGATCATCCTAGGCCCTTTGCCACATGGAACGGGTCCTTGTTCTAGGTAGTCTACTTGGAGAGTGGAAGGAGCAAGCAGAGATGTAAAACAAGGGCCGTTACCTCTACAAGGGTGGCACTGAGGTTCAAGCGTGTCAGATTGGTTACCAGCTCAAGTGGGTGCTGGACATCAGGAACCTGTGGGAGCAGGTATGGGATAGCAAAGAGATCATTAAGAGAAATCAAAGGCTATGCAGTGCATAAATGTAGATCAGAATTTTCATGTTCTCAATTGCCATTCTAAAAGCATATAAATTTGGGTGTTTATCTGTGCAAAGCTTCAGTATATATACATCTATGCATATCTAAGGTTGCACTAGAATTCATATTAGTGGTGAGAAGTATACACTTATTTCTAACATGAAAAATTAGAAGTACTGGGATTCAAGTCAAGTCCTGAGACTTGCAGTACAATCCTATGCAGAGTTACTCTGGTTTCAGCCCATTGATTTCAATGGACTAACTCACCATAGGACTACATTGTTAGAAGCCCTTCTCTCCAATCCCAGAGATAAAAGAGGATGTCTACATAAATACTATTACTACTACTACCCAGCTCATCAAGGCGAAAGTACTCTGTACATGTTCAAAGTAACTTTCTTCTATTACTTCACACATGCCAGGGAACAACCCTAAATATTTTTTTTAAAGGTCCCTAGAGAACCTTAGGTTAAATCAAGCCAAGCCACATTCTGTACTTGTGGAGGAAAGTGGGGGGGGAATCTTCACCCCACTGTTCATACTGATGCAGGTAGCAATACGCTGGGACACACAGAAGAGTTTGTATATTTACGTATTGGCAAAAACCAAGGGAACTATATCAAGTGGATATCCTTCAGACATAAGCATATGATTCTGCCTTATACCAAATTAGGTCATTGATAAATTTAGCTCAGTATTTCCTCTGGCAGTGGTTCTCTAAGATCTCAGAAAGAGAAACATTTTTCCCAACACCTCCTTCCCAAGATCTTTTACCTGGAGATGCCAGGAACTGAAGCACAGAGTTTCTACATGTACAATGCGTGCTGCATCATTGAGCCACAGTCCTTCCAGCATCTTAACTAAGCCTTTTGTTGGCCTACACCCTGATATACCTTGGCTTCAGCTTCATAGGTCCTAGAAGGCTCACCCAATGAATCCCCAAAATAATCTCTATTCCTATATTTTATAATAATCTGCCACCCCCGACCAAATAGCTGTGTGACTTCCCAACCCTTCTTTACCATGCTGAAATTGGCTATGTCAGGCAGTCCATCTACTGAATCATTCTGGCAAGGATCACCACAGGTGTGCAAAGTCTTATTGATACTGTCCCTCAGGGTGGTCAGGTTAGCAGCCAGTTCCTCCTGCAGCTTCTGCAAGCGACTGGCTGACTTGTTGACATTCTGGAGTTCCTCTTCTGCAACACCAATCACTGCAAGAGACAGAGCAAACCAGTTGGTGTAGTGGTTAGAATCAGACTAGGATCTGGGAGGCCCAGGTTCAACCAGCTACTTTTTCTTAGCCCAGTCTAACTCACAGAGCCGTGAAAATAAAATGGCAGGAGCAGACCACGTATGCTGAATTTCCTCCTTGAAAGATACAAACAGATCAGATCGCAGGGAAAGACTGGGAAGGTACTTTGTAATCTTCACTGTCCACCCAGTTGATGAATCATTTCTTACACCGCGGACTATCCAGACTTATGAACCAGAGCTAAAGAGGTCTGAAGAAATGGGTGACTGACAGCCCACCTCACCCTTACTCAGGCTCCAAAAGAAGAGCTGCATCCTTGTTTTATGTCCTGGTCCCTCTCAGAGTGAGATGGGCAGTGTGTACAGTTCCAGCTTACAATGAGCTTCCTGGAAATCCAACTCCAAAAGCAAATCACTGGCCTGTAAACTTTCTTTGCCCTCTGAGCCACTGTCTCCCCCCTGCCCTTGAACTGCAAATGCACAGACAGAGATCTGCGCTCCCACTGTGGCTGCTAAATCCCAACAACATTCCCAAGCACACTCCCCTTTGGCAGCAGACCATACCTTTCAAAAGCTGTTCAGCTGTGTTCAGCAGTGGGGCTGCCCGTCCACTCAGCTGGTTCACAATCTTACCCCCCAAACCGTTCCCAATGTCTGCAGAGAAGGGATATAATCAGTAAGAAGGATTACTTTTGCTATGTAGCTGCCAAATTTCAGGGCCAAGAATTGTGGATGTCAAGTCATAAACCCAATCTAGCTGGATCCCCTTAAGAGCTGATGGGACATTCCAGTGCTTTCATCCCTTAACAACATCCTGAGAAAGAATGGGACTCAGCAGCAACCTCACAGAAGGGGCAGATGCTAATGATGTAGACTGTCTACTGCAGACCATGAATAAAGCTGGCCAAGCAGCTGGAGCCAGGACTTCCAAGTACTTCTGAATGCTCTGAACCACCAGTTGTGACTCATCCATTTCAACCCAGTTCCCTAAGTCACATAACATCATCCAGTGGGAGAACACAATTTTAGCTGATGCTCATGTATCAGGTTGAAGCCCAGGCCCCAGATGATAGTCAATGGCATGGACTCACCCAGCAAGCTGGCATTGGTTTGTTGTATTGGCACTGAACTGGAGTCGATGATGAAATCAACCTCCTGTGGAGGACCAAGAAAGTGGTGAAATATAATCACAGTGCTGGTAACAGCAAACAGGATCAAAGTAATTAGCATAGTTTTGGTCATAGCTATGAAGTGGTAAAGAATATAGGATGTGAAGAAATCAGGGCCAAACCAGAAGTAACTGCAGAAGAAGAAATCAAGGTGTTGAGTAAATCCTTTATTTATATTATTATTATTGTTGTTGTTGTTGTTATTTCCTGATCCCAGTTTAGGACACCATATACAGTCCAATGCAGAGTAATTAAATGTGTTCCTGTGTGCTGTCTTGGCTGGCTGCCACAGAGACCACACACTAGAAGCTTGTAAACACAGTCCAGAATCAAGGTCAGTCAGAGCCGAAAGTCAAAGAGCCAGAAAGTCAATTCAAGGTTGCAAGGACAAGGAGCGGGGCTGAGTGAGCAAAGTTGCTGCCGCATTGAACCAGGTGCACTGAGTGCTTTTGAGCAGGTCCTTCCTTCCCTGGGGTTGAGTCTGCAAAGGCTTACAGTTGTTCCCTCTGCCTCTGCTGGAGCTGGAGTCTGGCACTCCTTCTTCCCTCCTGCCTCTGGCGTGCCCTACGTTTGGGGCACTCAGGGGAACTAGGCAAGGAGTCTGACCTTGGGGTGTCTGCAACTGGGGGTGCTGGGCCAGGCTCAGGATTGGCCTCTCCTTCTGGCTGCACCTCTTGTGCAGCTGCTGGGGACTCTTCCTCCTCAGGTGTAGTTGAGGGTTCTTCTTCTGGGCTGACTCCAGAGGAGGCCGGGCTGCTCCCTGCCTCTTCCTCATCTGAGGAGTAGTCAGCCTCAGCAGACCTGGTACCCATGACATCCTGTAACATTGTCACATGGTGATAATTCTTACAATGATCCATTTCCAAATGACTCTGTAAACCCCAGAGTCACTGGATGGAAAGGCTATGAGTATGAACTGAAGTCTGTAATCCTATGTGCATATTAGGAAGTCAGCTCCCATCATCCTTAGGGCTTGCTTCTCAGTATGCATGCTTAGGATTGGATTGCAATAATATCTGTAGACATTCATACGGAAATGGTGCTCAGAAAGAAGCACCTTCAAGTGCTACAAAAGAGTCTTATGACTTCAGATGCTTCTGTGGATTTTTAAAAAAATATTTCCTGGAAAACAATTAAATTTGTTCCATAGAAATAGCTCCAGGAAGTTTGCATGGTATTTTATACCATGCAAATTGGGATTGGCTAGTGGGCTCCCACAGCCTTTGACAGGGCCCCACTGGTGCCAATATCAAAGGTAAAGAGCCTAAGGGTGTCCCTGGATGCCTCACTGATCATGGAGGCCCAGGTCACCACCCACCACCAGGTCTGCCTTTTCCATCTGAGGCAGATCAGGCTGTTGGCTCCATACCTCATCCCCTACAATCTGGCTGTGGTGACCCATGCAACGGTCACTTCCGGACTAGATTACTGTAATTCTCTCTAAGTGAGGCTTCCCTTGACTCTGCTCCAGAAGTTGCAGGTAGTGCAGAATGCAGTGGCACGGGTGTTGATGTTGCTGCCTTTGTGGGCACATATCCATCTGGTGCTGCGTGACCTGCACTGGCTGCCTATCGAATTCTGGATCCATTTCAAGGTGTTGGTGTTTATCTATATAGCCAGGGGCAAGCATATCTTCGAGACCGCCTTTCCCCATATGAGCCCCGAAGAACATGAGTTCTATGAACCAGCACCTTCTGATAGTCCCTGGCCCTAGGAATGTCCGACTTGCCTCATCTAGGGCTAGAGCCTTTTTGGCTTTGGCCCCTGCCTAGTGGAATGAGCTACCTTATGTGATCAGAGCCCTGCAGTACCTGTTACAGGTCTGCAAGGCCTGCAAGATGGAGCTCTTCTGCTGGGCCTTTAGTTGAGGCAGCGGGCATCCACTTTGATTTGGCCTCCCCTCCAGTGACCTAAGATACTAGAAGCTGATTGGGACCACAATATTATCTGTTGAGGAGCATTGTTGTTTTAGTGTGTTGGAATTTTTACTAATTTTAATGGATTATTATGTTTTAATTGTAAATCTGCATTAACTGCAGACCTATATGTTGGTACCCACCCTGAGCCTACAAAGTGGGGAGGGTGGGATATAAGACCAATTAAATAAATAAATACCAGGCCAAGCACTTGGTGTGAGAAATGCCTTCAAGGGGAAATACAACGGAAGCAATATATTTGGGAAAGGCTAATTCAATACTCTTTTAACTAGCAAAGCATGTTTGTTCTTTCTAGTGTGTGAATTTCACATTATACATTGCTTGTGTTTCTGTTTAAAAATACAAAAAAAAAATACTGCTGATACAGGAAACACAAGCATAAAACTGGATAGGTCTGGGACTATGGATAAGGCATGTTTCCCAGTAAGGAACCCAGAATTAACCTGACACACTCTCCTCTAGACCCTGGTGCTAGAAAAGGCAAGGGCTCTCTGCTTGGCATGGGACCCTTTCTTGGTGCCCAGCACTTTCCCCTTGCAACTGGCAAGAGCCGGATAGTTCAGCATAATCACTGAAGTACTTGGCCTTCAAATTGCAGTGACAGGTTATTAGTATCTCATGAGATAACGGGGCCAGACAATGCAAAGGTGCTTCCCTGTAGGAAGTAGAAATAAATTCTGGAAGACAGAGGCAGGATGCAGAAGTGCTTTCCTGGGAATGGCACATGGAGTTTGGGGTCTAAGTAAAGCAAGACTGGAAGTCTGTGGAAAGGGTGCAGAAGGCCATGCACAAACAAGACACCTGCCTGGGGAAAGGAACCAGGTACAATATATCTCCTACATACCTGGGGGATGGAGTGCAAGAAGATGTGCAAGTTGTCCATGGTATTGTTGAAAGTACTGAAACTTTTATCTACATTCTGGGACAGGCGGTTATTGCTGACATAGGCACAGATATCGCCAGCCCTATAACAGAAGAAACAAACAGAAGGGAACAATGACTCAAAAGTAGAAGAGATGAGGAAAAACCGGTTCTTGCACTTAAGTCCTCTCCCACTACCCCAAGGATGCCAATCCACTGTCCAATGCCCATGCTTTCCACCAACAGACTTGTTTTCATTAATTTATGTGCTGTAGCATTGTACTAGTTATTTGGCAGGGAATGGGGCAATACGTGCATTCTGCAGAAGCTAGCATTGCACATATGCCCTAGCTTACTCAGCGCTGCAAGAACTTTTGTGACTTTGGGAATGGAGACAGGCAAGGACAGGTGGTTACTTGTTCCAATGGCAGTGGTCCAGAGCAAAAGGTTTCCGGGACACTCAGCTGCTTCCCAGAGAGTTCAAGTGGTTCCACATCCACAGAACCCCCTTTACCATCTTTATGTGCTGTTCATCTCTGAATGCCTACTGAAAGAATATAGCAACCAGTGGTTCATCCTTAGATCCTGTGCTTTGTTTCTGGGGGGGAGGGGAAGATGCAAGCATCTCTGGAATGACTGCCCTCTCATCTAGAAGCCATTAACCCTTGTGCCTAATGACTAACTCTCCAATGTTATTCACTGAGGAAATAAAATGCACTCTGCACTTGCTCAGGGACACTCTTATCTCAATTTTATATGATTCTGGGTTGTTCCTGCCATTGAAAACAGAAGCCAGCACTGAGCCTGCCACACATTAATTGCTGCCTGGACCACAATAAGATGTTTGTCTTTCCAGACTGTTGGGCATCTCCAGTAGCAGCTCCCACCCTCCCTCAACAGCTCAGAATACGCCTCTGTTGCCTTGATCTGTCTGGCAATGTGACCTCCTCTCATACAAAGGGATGTGCTCACACCCAGTGGCCGCTTCCTGTAGGGCCTCCTTGTCATGACCATCCCATCCTCCCTCAGTTCCAGGAAGCTATATCGAGGGGGGGGGAAGAGGGGGGAGGGGAGGGAGAGAAACTGTGACCTGTTTGAAATGTTGCCAGGTAGGTATGGAGAACTTACCTGTGCAGTGTTGTACATGCTGCTGGGCATGTCTCACTCAACCTGGGCCCTGGGCCTATACATATCTTCATTGGCCAGCACAGCAACCACTTGAGCTACAGATCCCTGGCATCCAAAAAGAGCATGTGGAGGACAGGCACCCAGTTTAAATGAGACACTGGGCATTCACAGTACCACACAATGGGTGCGTTCAGACGGGGCGTTTCTGCCGGCATAAACTGCACCGGTTGGAACCGGTGCAGTTTATGCCGGCAGAAACGCGATCAGACTCACCCTCCTGTCTGCAGAGCCCTCCGGTGGATGCCCGCTCACACGCTGCGGGCGTCGGCGTTTGTTTTCTTTTTTTTAAAAAAGGACTGTTTGAGCATGCGCACAGGCAGCCATTCAGAGAATGGCGATTTTTGCACATGCTCAACCCCCCCCCTACATTTAAACTTTAAAGGTAAGCACTTACCTTTAAAGTTTAAAGCCCAACCTGGCCTCGTTTCAGTCCCGGACTCCTCCGGGACGGTAAAGTAAGGGTTTTTTCCCTCTTCACAAACGCTCGGGGTGAAGCTTCGCCCGAGCGCATATCGCTTAGAGTTAAAAAAAATGGCGGGGGAAAGCCAGAAGCCTCAGGCTTCCGACGGAAGTGGCTAGGCACCGGTGGAGAGCGATCAGACGCCGGTTTGTATCGGAAGCCACCGTTGTACTCTGGATACCACCACTTGGGACCTAGTTGCAGAGTACAACGGTGTAAACGGCTTTGTAACAGTTAGGGACGGGAGGCAGATGTTCGCCATGTGAACGCTGGTAAGTACACCGGTTGGAATCGTCACCTATTCCGTTACAAATGCTGCGTCTGAACGCACCCAATAAGTGTCTTGTCTGCTCACATTCAGATTTAAATAGGGATGCAAAGAAAGTGGAAGGTCCTTCCTTAATTGGGCCACCAAACCAACCACTCCTCTATGATACTTTGCATGGTATAAAACTCACAGAAGAATAATAGTAATAACCAGCACAGATGCAAAGAATGCCCTTCTCTGACAGCCAGTATGCTTCTTCTGCTTCTGGTACATGCGTCCCCCACAATTCCCACAGCAGCGACAGCAGCAGAAGCACAAGCCCACCAGGGGCATGACGACGATGAAGAGTATTCCAATGATGATGCAAACCAGGAATCCTGCCTGATACACGAGCACCTAAACACGAGGGAGGGGAAAACATCACAGTCACCTGGCATTCACAGATGTTACCAGCACATGACTGCTCCAAAGTGCTTGGAAAAGAGATCCAGGTTGATGCAGCAGACAGAGTGTTAGACTAGGACCAGAGAGACCCAGGCTCAAATCTGTGCTTGGCCATAAAGCTCAGTGGGTGACTCTGTCTCAGCTGGACCTACTTCACTGGGCTGTTGTGAGGACAAAATGAGGAGGGGCGAACCATGCATGCCACCTTTTGCTCCTTGGAGGCAGGGCTGACTTATCCATTAGGCACAGTAGGCACAGTGCCTAGGAATCACAATATTTTTAGGGGCCCACAGAAATGTTTTAACTTTTTAAAAAATCAGATGAAAAAATTGAACTTTTAGGGTCAAAGAAAAGGTTTCAAATGTCTTCTCACATCAGAAAAAAAAATGAAATTGTAGGGCCCACAAAAATCTATTACATTTTGCTTAAAACAGAAAAGAATATAATTTTATTTTATTAATTTATTAATAAATTATTTATTAATGTATTAATAATTTTAATATTGATATTATTATGTGGGGGGCATGAAGGCAAACATGCCTAGGGCCTACAAAAGTCATAATGCGGCCCTGCTTGGAGGAAGAATGGGATAAAAACGTAATAGGCCAATGAAGAGAAGTGAACGAACTCTGTAGGCTCAGATGCAAAAATAATCGGGATTTAGTGGAATATGTCATTGAGGAGTCCAATTCACTAGATTCCAACAAGTGCCAGAGATGCCATTTGCGTGTGGCAGGTCATGCCTGGAATGGTGTGGTAAGCTGCCTCAGCCAAGTCAATTGGGAGACTGCATGTGCATGATGTGATGTGCTCATGGAAAGGGAAATGTTAGTGATGTCAGCTCCAGAAAGTGCCAGCATGCACTGGGAGAAGTTACCAATATCAAAAGTTGGCGATTCCTTGTTTTAATATATACATAAAGTAAAATATAAATTGATCTTCAGTTGTACATTGTGAGCTGAACATAACTGGTGCAGATTCTAGCAGGGACACATAGATCCACAATGGCTTCTGCTTTCAGCATAGTGAAGATCAGTGAAAGGAGAGTGCTGTGACAGAATTCAGGGCAGTAGAAAAGAACAAGAGACATCACTAACATTTCCCTTTCCATGAGCCCCTTCTTTTGCACCCCTCTCCAGGCCCACTGATCCTTCTGTTGCCACCCACCAAACTTTGGGCTGCATGACTCACTGCTGTAACATTCACCTCTTTGTAAAAGTCTGGACTCATAACCTCAGTCTCACGCTTGATCAGGCGAGGCAGGAAATCTGGGGGAAAGCACAAAGGTTAATAGTGGAAAGGGAAAAGGCACAGCCACATAATTGCTGTGATGGTTGCAGGTGACTCAAAACAAAAATGTCTCTGGAAATTCCTGCTCAGACCTCAGGTTACCAAGATAAAGGATCGAGAGAGACCCCTGTTTCTATAGCTGCCTTTCTCTAAAGCTACTCCATTATAATCATTATGGAGAGAAATCCTCTCCTTTGCCACAGGTAGCAAAGCTCCAGTGTAACAATAAAAAACACCATACTGGAAAGTGCCACTAAGGCACAGCCAACTTATGGTGACCCATAGGGTTGTCAAGGTAAGAGATGGCCAGCAGTATTTTGCCACTGCCTGCCTTTATGCAGCAACTCTGGTATTCCTGGGTGGTCTACAATGCTCCCCCTAAGCTGTGAGATCTTGTGAGCAAAAATTCTACTTTGTGAGCTCTTGGCATTAAAGTTGTGAGCAAGCGATCTGGCTACGGCATAAATTAGTTTGCTCTGGAGCCGTCCTCCCTGAGCTAAGACAACAATCTGTGAGCTGGAGGATAAAAAAACTGTGAGCTAGCTCACACTCACTCAGCCGGTGGTCTCCCATCCAAATACTGCCCAGGGTCTGACTCTGCTTAGTTTCTGAGATCCAACAAGATCAGGCTGGCCTAGGCCTTCCAGGTCAAAACAAACACCACACTGTTGTTGTTGAGTCACATAGTCAAGTCCGACTCTTCGCGACCCCATGGACCACACCACACTACCAGAAAGTAAATATTCTCCCTTTGTAGTCAAGACCAAGTAATATTCAACTTTGCCACTAAGGGGTGCTATGCTGCAGCAAGTAGATTTAAACAGACGGGCTCCATTCAAAGTACCTGTGACTATTTCCAGTAGATCAGAAGGGAGCTCTAACACAGGGGCTACAGAAAGACGGAGCTTCTGTGGCTGGAGGTGGGAGCGATTCAGGATTGGGGAGTCAACTCCCAGCCCTCGATGGGGTGCCTCTGACACCGGCACCTACCGTCAGGAGCCCAGGGGTGATCTTGGACCCACCTCTGTCTATGGAGGCCCAGATCGCCAATGTTGTACATGCCGTTCCAACTGCGCCAAGTTAGGCAGCTGGCCCCCTATCTGTCTCGCCCCGACCTTGCCACCATAATCTGTGCAATGGTCATCTCCAGGCTGGATTATTGTAACTCACTTTACGTAGGACTACCCTTGAGACTGCCCCGGAAGCTCCAACTGGTACAAAATACAGCTGCGCGGGTCCATATGAGGACTCCATGGAGAACACATATCCATCCAGTGCTGCACAAGCTGCACTGGTTGCCAGTGGAGCACTGGATCAGATTCAAGGTTTTGGTGCTTACCTTTAAAGCCTTTAACGGTCAAGGACCTACATACCTTTGGGACCGCCTCTCCTGATAAATCCCCCCGGAAGGGCACTGAGATCAGCAGATAAGAATCTCCTGGTGATTCCCGACCCCAAAGACATCCGGCTGGCCTCGACCAGGGCCAGGGCTTTCTCAGCCTTGGCCCCAGGCTGGTGGAACTCTCTGCCAAACCAATGACATCTGTGCCCTGTCTGATCTATTAAAGTTCCACAGGGCATGCAAGGCAAAGATGTTCCGCCAGGCCTTCAGTTGAGGTCAGCAATGGTTCTCTTACATCTACCCGGCACCCTTCCCTCATCTCCCCACCCCCTATGAAAATCTGAATGCTGGATATGCCATCTTGTTTTTAAAAGTGTTTAAATATTTATGCTGAATGCTTTAATATTGAATGTTTGTAGTTTTAACTGGTTTTAAATTGTACTGAATTTACGTATGTTGTTGTAAACCACCCTGAGCCCCATGTACACGGGGAAGGGCGGTTAAGAAATCGAAATAAATAAATAATAAAACAGACTGTTAAGTCCGCACTTAACAAATTAGTCAGAGATTTCAGCAAAAACTCAGGTTTATTCAGCTCGACGATCAACTTCTCTAACACGGTACAACTCCTCATAGCCCGAACAGCTTTTCCATTGCAGCTGCTCGGTATTTAAAAATTCCGGGCTAATGTAGCCACACCTACTATACACATATCAACCTATCAGGTTGAGCGCATAACAGACCAATCATAAGGGTTCCCGCTTACTGACAGTTCAAATGTGATTGGCCACACTGTCTTCGGCGCGAATCCCTGCCGAAGCCTGAAGCTTTACATAGCTTCTCTATGGGATGATTCCACATTCATCCTAATGCATTCAGGGCAGCATCTGAATACATTACACAGACCATACAAAAGATTCAGATCTGAACAGTGTACTGCATTTTTAATGGGGACTAAAGATAGCTGCAGGTATCTCAGGTAGAAGGTATAAACAAAATCAAATCTCCATTAGAAGATGAAATGCTTGGCTTCAGTGCAGTGGAGGGGGGGGCTTTCTACAGGAACAGGGTTTGATTTAAAGCAAGCTTAATGCTACAGATAACTGTTTTCCATGCCAAGGCCAAAGTGCACTGCAACATGTACACAAGCCCTTTCTTTACCACTGAGTAATAACTACCAGCCAGTACACGTCTGAGACTAAAAAGCAAAGAGCTTATCCAGTCCTGAGGTGTGACTGCCAGGCAGACTTGAGCCTCAGTACCTTTCAGTCTCCAAATCATGCAAGGGATGAGAGCAAGGCTGCCATGGCCTCCAACAGCCTATTTTAAGATTTAGCATGTCAGTATTAATACCAAAAGGGTGGGAGAGTGATCGGAAGTTGTTCCGCCAGTTGCAAAAGTCTGCTCCTGCCAGAGACATTTGAATGGTACTAGGCAAAGCTTTAGATATTTGCATGAATGTTTGCTCACAGTCTATCTTTCTTGCTTTCTCTTCCTCTTAACACCTCTCTGACCACAGTTTCACTAACACTGCCTTAGGAACCAGTTACAGTTGGTAGGAGGTTATGCGTGTGTATATAAAAAGAAATGGAGGGATGATATAATGGTATCTTTCTGTACCACTCGCTTATTTTATTCAGACTGTTGTGTACAATAAATGGTATAAATTAGGTCAGTAAGACTTTTTGTGAATTGGTGGTAGCTTCTGCAGACTGATTTGCAAGGCTGACTTACAGTATTAGTTTCTAAGAATGACGGAAACGTCTGATGGAATGCAGCCACCATTGTGCAAGGAGGAAAAGCACAGTGCTAGTTTGGAGCAGGAAGTGGGGAAAAGATGCTCCTGTCCAACTGAATCTGCAGCACGGAGGGTTTGTGGTGCTGATTCCCCCCCTCCCCCCCAAACCCAAAGGATACGGCTGGCATGATCTTTGACTCGTTTCCTACTAGGCAAAACCAAGTCACCACAGTCCCAATCAAGTACAGCTACTCTACTAGCCACTATCAGGAATTATTTTATTGTTTATATATAGTTTCTTTATTAATTTTCCAGAACAAACACAACAAACATACATACTAAACATACATACAAACATAAATACAAAAACCATAACTCGAATTGCTTATTTCAATGAAGTATTCCAGCAAAAAAAAAAATTACCTAGGCTGCGGTCACACAGAACATTAGCCATGCTAGAGAGACAGAAGACAGGCGGATTTTCTGGGCGCAATCTCACCGGCACATCTGGGAAGCGTAGCGCTCCCGTGGCTCAACCGAGGCTTCCCACTGAAGACACGCGGCAAAAAAATAGTACCTCGGAGGTACTAGTTTCCGGAAACCGCAGGGCAAGGGCGGGCATCTGATCGCGTTTCCGTTGGCATCCAGCGCCCGCCCATGTCCCCTTGCAAAAAAGGTGTTTTTTTCCCCAAGTGTCTGTGGATGCACACAAGCACCCAACGGAGCATGTGCATTTTTGGTGTACACGAAAAAAAACAGTTTGCCGCACCGCGCCGCTTCTTTGTTGCACGCAGGACCGTCCTGTGATCGGCACCTCTCCCTACCCACGGGACCTCCACGGGAGGTCTGATCGCTTAACCCTGTGTTAGTTTGCCCCGGGGCAAACAGCCACGCTTCCCCCCCCCCGCATTTTCCTGCCCATGTGACCAGAGCCCTACTAAAGTTTTCCATATCTGAATTATCCTTTAAACTATAATTCCACGCATATTTCTCATAATTCAAAAATACATGCCAACCCAAATTATAAGTGTTCTCAGACTAACATTGTATTTCTACCACAATTCTCTATCAGATTTTCCTCTCCTGGTTCAATCAGAGCACCTCAGGCATATACAGTAATTTAACCATCTGTCTAACTACCCAAAATAAGTTTCCCACCTTTTCATAGCCCTGAGCAGATCTGTGACCTTATTTTCTAATCTCATTTAAATATTTATCTTATGAGCTATTATCTAGCCAATCTCCCTTTTCTTGCCCGCATATTTACTAATATTATTCTTAGGTATCCCTTAACATAGCACAACACCCTAAAAAATATAAAATTTTCAGCATCTTATCATTGCCTTATCTGCTAAAACTTATATAATACTCTTATTTTCTCAATTCTTTTTAGAAGATATCCAGGCACAACAGTAACCAAAAATCAGATATCCAAAATAGATAGTCTATAATCAGATATTAGTTAACTTTACCTCTCATTCTATTTTCTGAAAGTAAAAAATTATAGATATACTACCCCAATCCTTCTTACAATATTTTAGTTTCTTTATGTTATAATAACAGAATAATCCCTTTAGGGAACAAAAGAGACAAAATTTTTGCAGTTACACAGAAATATATAAACAGTAAGTTGCATAGAGGTTGTCTATCAAAAAATTCTTATTGTCATTCCAAAATAACTCAAAACATCTTAATCTAGTACAATCCTTTCCATCATATAATGCAATCCACATTTCATTCATAAAATAGACTTTAACAGTTATACTGCCCCATGATATACTTAACAGCCCTGTTTCCTGAAGCATCTTATTCTTGATAATTGTGTCTAAATGTCTCTCCCCTTTATACTCATGATATTCTGCTCCCTTCTGCTTTTCCTGAGTAGTCTGTCCTGTCAC